GAGCACCAACATCTAACAACTGGGCCATCTGAGCACCAACATCTATGGGCCATTTGAGCACCAACATCTATGGGCCACCTGAGCACCAACATCTATGGGCCATCTGAGCACCAACATCTAACAACTGGGCCATCTGAGCACCAACATCTATGGGCCATCTGAGCACCAACATCTATGGGCCACCTGAGCACCAACATCTAACAACTGGGCCATCTGAGCACCAACATCTATGGGCCATCTGAGCACCAACATCTATGGGCCATCTGAGCACCAACATCTAACAACTGGGCCATCTGAGCACCAACATCTAACAACTGGGCCATCTAAGCGCCAACATCTATGGGCCACGTTAGCACCAACATCTAACAACTGGGCCATCTGAGCGCCAACATCTATGGGCCATCTGAGCACCAACATCTATGGGCCATTTGAGCACCAACATCTATGGGCCACCTGAGCACCAACATCTAACAACTGGGCCATCTGAGCACCAACATCTATGGGCCATTTGAGCACCAACATCTATGGGCCACCTGAGCACCAACATCTATGGGCCATCTGAGCACCAACATCTAACAACTGGGCCATCTGAGCACCAACATCTATGGGCCATCTGAGCACCAACATCTATGGGCCACCTGAGCACCAACATCTAACAACTGGGCCATCTGAGCACCAACATCTATGGGCCATCTGAGCACCAACATCTATGGGCCATCTGAGCACCAACATCTAACAACTGGGCCATCTGAGCACCAACATCTAACAACTGGGCCATCTAAGCGCCAACATCTATGGGCCACGTTAGCACCAACATCTAACAACTGGGCCATCTGAGCGCCAACATCTATGGGCCATCTGAGCACCAACATCTATGGGCCATTTGAGCACCAACATCTATGGGCCACCTGAGCACCAACATCTATGGGCCATTTGAGCACCAACATCTATGGGCCACCTGAGCACCAACACCTTTGGGCCATCTGAGCACCAACATCTAACAACTGGGCCATCTGAGCACCAACATCTATGGGCCACCTGAGCACCAACATCTAACAACTGGGCCATCTGAGCACCAACATCTAACAACTGGGCCATCTGAGCGCCAACATCTATGGGCCATCTGAGCACCAACATCTATGGGCCACCTGAGCACCAACATCTAACAACTGGGCCATCTGAGCGCCAACATCTATGGGCCACCTGAGCACCAACATCTAACAACTGGGCCATCTAAGCGCCAACATCTATGGGCCACGTGAGCACCAACATCTAACAACTGGGCCATCTGAGCGCCAACATCTATGGGCCATCTGAGCACCAACATCTATGGGCCACCTGAGCACCAACATCTATGGGCCATCTGAGCACCAACATCTATGGGCCACCTGAGCACCAACATCTTTGGGCCATCTGAGCACCAACATCTAACAACTGGGCCATCTGAGCACAACATCTATGGGCCACCTGAGCACCAACATCTAGCAACTGGGCCATCAGAGCGCCAACATCTAACAACTGGGCCATCTGAGCGCCAACATCTATGGGCCATCCGAGCACCAACATCTAGCAACTGGGCCACCTTAGCACCAACATCTAGCAACTGGGCCATCTGAGCACCAACATCTATGGGCCACGTGAGCACCAACATCTAGCAACTGGGCCATCAGAGCGCCAACATCTAACAACTGGGCCATCTGAGCGCCAACATCTAACAACTGGGCCATCTGAGCGCCAACATCTATGGGCCATCCGAGCACCAACATCTAGCAACTGGGCCACCTGAGCACCAACATCTAGCAACTGGGCCATCTGAGCACCAACATCTAGCAACTCGGCCATCTGAGCACCAACATCTATGGGCCATCTGAGCACCAACATCTATGGGCCACCTGAGCACCAACATCTATGGGCCACCTGAGCACCAACATCTATGGGCCATCTGAGCACCAACATCTAACAACTGGGCCATCAGAGCACCAACATCTATGGGCCATCTGAGCACCAACATCTATGGGCCATCTGAGCACCAACATCTATGGGCCATCTGAGCACCAACATCTATGGGCCATTTGAGCACCAACATCTATGGGCCACCTGAGCACCAACATCTATGGGCCATCTGAGCACCAACATCTAACAACTGGGCCATCTGAGCACCAACATCTATGGGCCATCTGAGCACCAACATCTATGGGCCACCTGAGCACCAACATCTATGGGCCACCTGAGCACCAACATCTATGGGCCATCTGAGCACCAACATCTAACAACTGGGCCATCTGAGCACCAACATCTATGGGCCATCTGAGCACCAACATCTATGGGCCACCTGAGCACCAACATCTATGGGCCACCTGAGCACCAACATCTATGGGCCATCTGAGCACCAACATCTAACAACTGGGCCATCTGAGCACCAACATCTGTGGGCTACCTGAGCACCAACATCTACCAACTGGACCATCTGAGCACCAACATCTATGGGCCATCTGAGCACCAACATCTATGGGCCACCTGAGCACCAACATCTACGGGCCACCTGAGCAACAACATCTAACAACTGGGCCACCTGAGCGCCAACATCTATGGGCCATCTGAGCACCAACATCTATGGGCCATCTGAGCACCAACATCTATGGGCCACCTGAGCACCAACATCTATGGGCCACCTGAGCAACAACATCTAACAACTGGGCCACCTGAGCACCAACATCTAACAACTGGGCCATCTGAGCACCAACATCTATGGGCCACCTGAGCACCAACATCTATGGGCCACCTGAGCGCCAACATCTAACAACTGGGCCATCTGAGCACCAACATCTATGGGCCATCTGAGCACCAACATCTATGGGCCACCTGAGCAACAACATCTAACAACTGGGCCATCTGAGCACCAACATCTATGGGCCACCTGAGCAACAACATCTAACAACTGGGCCACCTGAGCGTCAACATCTATGGGCCATCTGAGCAACAACATCTAACAACTGGGCCACCTGAGCACCAACATCTAACAACTGGGCCATCTGAGCACCAACATCTATGGGCCATCTGAGCACCAACATCTAACAACTGGGCCATCTGAGCACCAACATCTATGGGCCATCTGAGCAACAACATCTAACAACTGGGCCACCTGAGCACCAACATCTAACAACTGGGCCATCTGAGCACCAACATCTATGGGCCATCTGAGCACCAACATCTATGGGCCACCTGAGCACCAACATCTATGGGCCACCTGAGCACCAACATCTATGGGCCATCTGAGCACCAACATCTAACAACTGGGCCATCTGAGCACCAACATCTATGGGCCATCTGAGCACCAACATCTATGGGCCATCTGAGCACCAACATCTATGGGCCACCTGAGCAACAACATCTAACAACTGGGCCATCTGAGCACCAACATCTATGGGCCATCTGAGCACCAACATCTATGGGCCACCTGAGCACCAACATCTAACAACTGGGCCATCTGAGCACCAACATCTATGGGCCATCTGAGCACCAACATCTATGGGCCATCTGAGCACCAACATCTATGGGCCACCTGAGCACCAACATCTATGGGCCACCTGAGCAACAACATCTAACAACTGGGCCACCTGAGCGCCAACATCTATGGGCCATCTGAGCACCAACATCTATGGGCCATCTGAGCACCAACATCTATGGGCCACCTGAGCACCAACATCTATGGGCCACCTGAGCAACAACATCTAACAACTGGGCCACCTGAGCACCAACATCTAACAACTGGGCCATCTGAGCACCAACATCTATGGGCCACCTGAGCACCAACATCTATCGGCCACCTGAGCGCCAACATCTAACAACTGGGCCATCTGAGCACCAACATCTATGGGCCATCTGAGCACCAACATCTATGGGCCACCTGAGCAACAACATCTAACAACTGGGCCATCTGAGCACCAACATCTATGGGCCACCTGAGCAACAACATCTAACAACTGGGCCACCTGAGCGCCAACATCTATGGGCCATCTGAGCAACAACATCTATGGGCCACCTGAGCAACAACATCTAACAACTGGGCCATCTGAGCGCCAACATCTATGGGCCACCTGAGCAACAACATCTAACAACTGGGCCACCTGAGCACCAACATCTAACAACTGGGCCATCTGAGCACCAACATCTATGGGCCATCTGAGCACCAACATCTAACAACTGGGCCATCTGAGCACCAACATCTATGGGCCACCTGAGCACCAACATCTATGGGCCACCTGAGCGCCAACATCTAACAACTGGGCCATCTGAGCACCAACATCTATGGGCCATCTGAGCACCAACATCTAACAACTGGGCCATCTGAGCACCAACATCTATGGGCCATCTGAGCACCAACATGTATGGGCCATCTGAGCACCAACATCTATGGGCCAGCCAAGTAGAGATTCGAACAAAGCCATGAGTCTGGAGTTGAACGAAAGGTTGATCGGAACACACCCAAGAGGAACAGCGACAAACAGACCCCGTCATATAGGCTCCCGACAAAACGTCTTCTTACACTATGGCTACCTACAAAAAGAATGCTGTCTTTTTTGGCTCCCGATAAAAGGGCCCCTGTCAATATGGTTCCCATAAAGACAGTCTCCAGGCGAAAGGAACCGAGGAACCCCTTCATACATTCTGTTCAGAGTTAGCCGAAACTCTGATGTCAAGTGTTAACAAATCGTTTGCAAGTTACATATGACAAGACTGGTGACATGTGACAAGACTGGTGACATATGACAAGACTGGTGACATGTGACAAGACTGGTGACATATGACAAGACTGGTGACATGTGACAAGACTGGTGACATGTGACAAGACTGGTGACATGTGACAAGACTGGTGACATGTGACAAGACTGGTGACATGTGACAAGACTGGTGACATGTGACAAGACTGGTGACATGTGACAAGACTGGTGACATGTGACAAGACTGGTGACATGTGACAAGACTGGTGAACCACCGACCTATATTGAGTGGATCGAACTGGAGCTGTGTTTGCCCCGCCCCCTTCAGCGCCGTGACGTCATCTGTGTATGTCTTACTCAGCTGCTCTGTAAAGCGCTCAGTCCTTGACCTGACCTGCTTCTCCTTCTGTTGGATCAGTTCTGTCAAACAAGGTCACAGTACTCATAAACAAGGTCAAACAAGGTCACAGTACTCATAAACAAGGTCAAACAAGGTCACAGTACTCCTAAACAAGGTCAAACAAGGTCACAGTACTCATAAACAAGGTCAAACAAGGTCACAGTACTCATAAACAAGATCAAACAAGGTCACAAAACTCATAAACAAAGTCTAAAAAGGTCACCTTTTTGACAAAAAAGATACCATCTAGGTAGTGATACCGTAGACTTACCATCAAGGTAGTGATACCATCGACTTACCATCAAGGTAGTGAAAGTAGTGATACGATCGACACCATCAAGGTAGTGATATCATCGACTTACCATCAAGGTAGTGATACCATCGACTTACCGTCAAGGTAGTGATACCGTCGACTTACCATCAAGGTAGTGATACCGTAGACTTACCATCAAGGTAGTGATACCATCGACTTACCATCAAGGTAGTGATAGTAGTGATACCATCGACACCATCAAGGTAGTGATACCATCGACTTACCATCAAGGTAGTGATACCATCGACTTACCGTCAAGGTAGTGATACCGTCGACTTACCATCAAGGTAGTGATACCGTAGACTTACCATCAAGGTAGTGATGCCGTCGACTTACCATCAAGGTAGTGATACCATCGACTTACCATCAAGGTAGTGATACCATCGACTTACCATCAAGGTAGTGATACCATCGACTTACCATCAAGGTAGTGATACCATCGACTTACCATTAAGGTAGTGATACCATCGACTTACCATCAAGGTAGTGATACCATCTACTTACCATCAAGGTAGTGATACCATCGACTTACCATCAAGGAAGTGATACCATCGACTTACCATCAAGGTAGTGATACCATCGACTTACCATCAAGGTAGTGATACCTTCGACTTACCATCAAGGTAGTGATACCATCGACTTACCATCAAGGTAGTGATACCATCGACTTACCATCAAGGTAGTGATACCTTCGACTTACCATCAAGGTAGTGATACCTTCGACTTACCATCAAGGTAGTGATACCATCGACTTACCGTCCAAGAGTCCTGCTTGAGGCCTGTGATTGGTATCGCTGGACGGACGGGACAAGGTCGCGACCTTGGGCCTGTCTCCCAGAATGGGCGGCGTCCCCGGATGTGACCTGAGATTCTCCTGCGAGAAGCTTGGCCTTGACCTTGGCAGAACGTCAGATAATCGCTTGGCGGGAAGAGTTGACATTTTGTTGCTAGTCTCTATGAGATATTTAGAATGACATTTGAAGTGGCATTTGAAGGCTATGGATGTTAGGGTCTAGGTTAAGTAAGTTAGGCTCAAGGCTAGAGATGGCAGGACCTAACAGCTTACTTGTCCACTCGGCGATTTCTTTGTTCCGTTTCTTCCTCTCCTTGATGACGAGGTCTGTACGCCCCAGCGAGTCGTCAAACGTGTCGGCCATAACGGAAGTGTCCAGCACAACGACCGTGGGCTGCATCCAGGGCGCCACCGCCCTCATCCAGCCCCGCCGCCCGTAGATGGAGTGCTGGACCTTCTCCTGCATTTTGATGTTGGTGCTGGGGGTCAAGAGAGAAACCAAGATGACACGTGACCCGGAAGAGAAGGTCAAATTAGTTCAGCAGTCAGGAAGGGGGGGGGGCAAAAAGTGAAGGTAAACTGAGAACTTACTGGTCGCGCTCCTTGACCACCGTCCATTTAAAGTTTAAATTGACGAACGAGTCGAATGAGACATTGACCTTCCAGTAGCCAGATTTTTTAGGAAACTCTGTAGATGGATCTTGTTTCAATTCATAGAACACAGCACATTCACAGCCATACATGGCAATGGTAGATAAGCAGGGCACTGGCAGCTATACAACACACTGGCAGCTATACAACACACTGGCAGCCATATAGAATACAGGCAGCCATACAGGACACAGGCAGCCATACAGGACACAGGCAGCCATACAAGACACAGGCAGCCATACAAGACACAGACAGCCATACAAGACACAGACAGCCATACAAGACACAGACAGCCATACAAGACACAGGCAGCCATATAAGACACAGGCAGCCATACAAGACACAGGCAGCCATACAAGACACAGACAGCCATACAAGACACAGACAGCCATACAAGACACAGGCAGCCATACAAGACACAGACAGCCATACAAGACACAGACAGCCATACAAGACACTGGCAGCCATATAAGACACAGACAGCCATATAAGACACAGGCAGCCATATAAGACACAGACAGCCATACAAGACACAGGCAGCCATATAAGACACAGGCAGCCATATAAGACACAGACAGCCATATAAGACACAGACAGCCATACAAGACACTGGCAGCCATACAAGACACAGGCAGCCATATAAGACACAGACAGCCATACAAGACACAGGCAGCCATACAAGACACTGGCAGCCATACAAGACACAGGCAGCCATATAAGACACAGACAGCCATATAAGACACAGGCAGCCATATAAGACACAGGCAGCCATATAAGACACAGACAGCCATACAAGACACAGACAGCCATACAAGACACAGACAGCCATACAAGACACAGACAGCCATATAAGACACAGACAGCCATATAAGACACAGGCAGCCATATAAGACACAGGCAGCCATACAAGACACAGACAGCCATACAAGACACAGAGTACGTTTTACCTTTGGCCGTGACTGCATGGTTGAGGTTCCACAGGCCAGTGGTGGGTGTTGAGCCGACGAGCACCAAGGTGTAGCCGTCGTTGATGTTGATGAAGGTCGTGAGCTCCAGGCAAGTGGCGGTCTGGTGGAACACCTCGTCGTCCTCGCCCCATATCGTGTGGACAGTCCCGCTGAAACAGTCGACTGTCCTGTTTCTTTTGGCTGTCCTCTCCCACTCAACAGCTGTCCTGTTTGGTGCTGTCCTTAGCCACACCCACTCAAATGTCGCCATGGCTGGCACCGCGGCCTCAACCTTCCACACGTGGATGTCTGCAACAGGTTCCAGGTGTCAGGTGTCAGGTGTCAGGTGTCAGGTGCCAGGTGTCAGGTGTCAGGTGTCAGGTGGCCGTCACAGGTGTCAGGTGGCCGTCACAGGTGTCAGGTGGCCGTCACAGGTGTCAGGTGGCCGTCAATATAGTCTACCCGTGTGTTTCTACAATATAATGTACCTGTGTGTTACTACAATATAGTCTACCTGTGTGTTACTACAATATAGTCTACCCGTGTGTTTCTACAATATAATGTACCTGTGTGTTACTACAATATAGTCTACCTGTGTGTTACTACAATATAGTCTACCTGTGTGTTACTACAATATAGTCTACCTGTGTGTTTCTACAATATAATGTACCTGTGTGTTACTACAATATAGTCTACCTGTGTGTTACTACAATATAGTCTACCTGTGTGTTACTACAATATAGTCTACCCGTGTGTTACTACAATATAGTCTACCTGTGTGTTACTACAATATAGTCTACCTGTGTGTTACTACAATATAGTCTACCCGTGTGTTTCTACAATATAATGTACCTGTGTGTTTCTACAATATAATGTACCTGTGTGTTACTACAATATAGTCTACCTGTGTGTTACTACAATATAGTCTACCTGTGTGTTACTACAATATAGTCTACCTGTGTGTTACTACAATATAGTCTACCTGTGTGTTACTACAATATAGTCTACCTGTGTGTTACTACAATATAGTCTACCTGTGTGTTTCTACAATATAGTCTACCTGTGTGTTACTACAATATAGTCTACCTGTGTGTTACTACAATATAGTCTACCTGTGTGTTACTACAATATAGTCTACCTGTGTATAGCTACAATATAGTCTACCTGTGTGTTACTACAATATAGTCTACCTGTGTGTTACTACAATATAGTCTACCCGTGTGTTACTACAATATAGTCTACCTGTGTGTTACTACAATATAGTCTACCTGTGTATAGCTACAATATAGTCTACCTGTGTGTTACTACAATATAGTCTACCTGTGTATAGCTACAATATAGTCTACCTGTGTGTTACTACAATATAGTCTACCTGTGTGTTACTACAATATAGTCTACCTGTGTGTTACTACAATATAGTCTACCTGTGTGTTACTACAATATAGTCTACCCGTGTGTTACTACAATATAGTCTACCTGTGTGTTACTACAATATAGTCTACCTGTGTATAGCTACAATATAGTCTACCTGTGTGTTACTACAATATAGTCTACCTGTGTATAGCTACAATATAGTCTACCTGTGTGTTACTACAATATAGTCTACCTGTGTGTTACTACAATATAGTCTACCTGTGTGTTACTACAATATAGTCTACCTGTGTGTTACTACAATATAGTCTACCTGTGTGTTACTACAATATAGTCTACCTGTGTGTTACTACAATATAGTCTACCTGTGTGTTACTACAATATAGTCTACCTGTGTATAGCTACAATATAGTCTACCTGTGTGTTACTACAATTTAATGTACCTGTGTGTTACTACAATATAGTCTACCTGTGTATAGCTACAATATAGTCTACCTGTGTATAGCTACAATATAGTCTACCTGTGTGTTACTACAATTACTTCCGTCAAATGATTTATGTTCTAGCCGATGTAGCGATTGATATAGCTGGTAAAGAGAAATGTTTATTATGTGCTAGCTAAGAGAGACAGCCCTGGCCTTGGCTGGGGACAGCTGCCTATCCAAGAGGGATAACTCTGACCTTGGCTGGGGACAGCTGCCTATCCAAGAGGGATAACTCTGACCTTGGCTGGGGACAGCTGCCTATCCAAGAGGGATAACTCTGACCTTGGCTGGGGACAGCTGCCTATCCAAGATTGATAACTCTGACCTTGGCTGGGGACAGCTGCCTATCCAAGATTGATAACTCTGACCTTGGCTGGGGACAGCAGCCTATCCAAGATTGATAACTCTGACCTTGGCTGGGGACAGCAGCCTATCCAAGAGGGATAACTCTGACCTTGGCTGGGGACAGCAGCCTATCCAAGATTGATAACTCTGACCTTGGCTGGGGACAGCAGCCTATCCAAGAGGGATAACTCTGACCTTGGCTGGGGACAGCTGCCTATCCAAGAGGGATAACTCTGACCTTGGCTGGGGACAGCAGCCTATCCAAGAGGGATAACTCTGACCTTGGCTGGGGACAGCAGCCTATCCAAGAGGGATAACTTTATATCAAACAACTGATCCTATTTGTTTGTTCTTGGATAGAATAAAGGCTATGGGAACACATTCAGACAGAGAAGCAAATCCAAGTCAATCAATCCTAGCATATCAAATGTTATAAAATAATGTTTGATCCTAGGTCTGACGGCCTTTTTTCCATGTATCATGCATGTTTATATAGAATGCTATGTGAACATGAGCCAAGCAAGACGTTCATTCAAATAGGACCGCAGCCAGAACGATTATATATATAAATATACATACATACATATATATATATATATATATATATATATATATATATATATATATATATATATATATATATAATATCCCTCGTGAGAGAATCCTGGCTAGGCCAGTGTGTTCGCGCATTCGTGTGTTTGTGTGTGCGAGAGTGCGTGAGTTGAGAGTGGTAACCTGGAGTGGGGTAAGCCTCGAGGGCGGCGTCAATGTTCCACGCCCCCAGCTCAGGCAGGGAACCCAGCAGGAAGAGGCGGTGACGCACACGATTTAAATTGGGGCACCAGATCTTGAACTGAATTCCGACTTGATTCGACAGGTACGATTTGATTTTCATGCTGCCACACGGAGATTTCCTGGCTGAAATAAAAACTTCTGCTTGCCGCACATCACACATTCACATGGTGTCATGTCATTTAACACCATGTGTCATGTCATTTAACACTTGGTGTCATGTCATTTAACACTTGGTGTCATGTCATTTAACACTTGGTGTCATGTCATTTAACACCATGTGTCATGTCATTTAACACTTGGTGTCATGTCATTTAACACTTGGTGTCATGTCATTTAACACTTGGTGTCATGTCATTTAACACCATGTGTCATGTCATTTAACACTTGGTGTCATGTCATTTAACACTTGGTGTCATGTCATTTAACACTTGGTGTCATGTCATTTAACACCATGTGTCATGTCATTTAACACTTGGTGTCATGTCATTTAACACTTGGTGTCATGTCATTTAACACTTGGTGTCATGTCATTTAACACTTGGTGTCATGTCATTTAACACCATGTGTCATGTCATTTAACACCATGTGTCATGTTATTTAACACCATGTGTCATGTCATTTAACACTTGGTGGCATGTCATTTAACACCATGTGTCATGTCATTTAACACTTGGTGTCATGTCATTTAACACCATGTGTCATGTCATTTAACTCTTGGTGTCACGTCATTTAACACTTGGTGTCATGTCATTTAAAACATGGTGTCATGTCATTTAACACCATGTGTCATGTCATTTAACACTTGGTGTCATGTCATTTAACACCATGTGTCATGTCATTTAACTCTTGGTGTCACGTCATTTAACACTTGGTGTCATGTCATTTAAAACATGGTGTCATGTCATTTAACACTTGGAGTCAAGGCATACAGCAACTAGTGTCATGTCACTTACTGTGTCTGCTGGCAGTGTGAGAAGGCATCTCTTCGAAGAAAGTTTACCGCCCCGCCCCCGAACGAAATGGAATTTACATAGAGAATATATACTTTTAAAAGCGTCTGCCCCCCCCCCCCCCTCCGAAAATTCCAAGTCCCCCCCCCCCCCCCCCCGATCTGGAAGAAACACTGGTGAGAAGATCAGTTGTCTGTAACGGTACTCAAGTTATCCGTGTTCAAAGACACACACATACATACATTAATATACACACACACAAACAGACATACAGTCAAAATTGTAAAACTATGTTTTTCCGATTCAGGGAAAATTTCGATTTTTGCACGATTACAATACTTTCTCCTATATTTCGTATACGAGAAAGTAAAAACAAGCACACGTCTTTTTTTTAAATCCATGTCAACAATAATAATGATGGAAGAATTGTCGTCAACTAGCTCATCTCCATTGTGGAATTTTACCACTTAGATTTTAGATCAAGTTGTCGGAAGCTAGCTAAAGTGATGGAATTTTAAAACTTAGATTTTAGATCAAGTTGTCAGAAGCTAGCTAAAGTGATGGAATTTTAACACTTAGATTTTAGATCAAGTTGTCAGAAGCTAGCTAAAGTGATGGAATTTTAACACTTAGATTTTAGATCAAGTTGTCAGAAGCTAGCTAAAGTGATGGAATTTTAACACTTAGATTTTAGATCAAGTTGTCAGAAGCTAGCTAAAGTGATGGAATTTTAACACTTAGATCTAGAATTTAGTTATTAGATCTAGATTCTAGATCTAGAATCTAGCTAAAAATTTTAATGATGGAATTTCCAACACACTTAGATTTTAAAACTAAATCTAGCGAATTGCTAGCTAAAATAGTATAACTTGAACACCTGGATCTAGATCTAGTATTTACCTTAGTTGTAAACTAAAATGGTGGAATGTTAACACTTAGATTCTACTTGCTAAATATGATGGAATTTTGATTGAAGACTCACGTGCAATTTAAAATGACGGGATTAAAACTAATCCCAGGTGTTGCTGTGTGAGCTGACTGTTGGTGCTTGCGCCGTCAGGCAACCGGAATTCCCGATTAAGTGCGCTTTTGGTGCTTTTAAAATGGCGATGTTTAGTGGAGAAATCTAGTGCAACACAGGCCACAAGCGTTAATAAAACTTAAAAATAAACTTTATTTATTTATTATGACAAGCTTTTTAAAAGCATCGGGAATAAAAGAAATAAAACATGGCGATCGGAAAAATGTCTGCCAGAAACACTGCCCACAGACAGACACACATACATCCCACAGACAGACACACATGCATCCCACAGACACACACACATACATTCATCTCCAACATTGGTTCTTAACCTAGGTCCGATCGATTCCTAGGGATCCTATCTGTCTCAAGGGTGCGGCGGAGGTCAAGACACACATAAAGACACACATCAAGACACACATCAAGACACACACCAAGACACACACCAAGACACACATCAAGACACACATCAAGACACACACCAAGACACACACCAAGACACACACCAAGACACACCACCCGACTTATATGATTCGCGATCAGATTTTGTCAATGCGGACGAAATAACTAATATTAGTTGTGTCAAACTAATTTTTTTTAAACGGTCCCAGAGCTTTTTTGAAAGTTGCTCTGTCAAGAACTCAAGATGCTGAGATAGTGGATACCACATTATTTCATATATCTCAAATAGAAATAAACCGGGAGTGATCTCCCCTAAATTTTCTCGAATATTCTTATATAAAATAACAGGGGATGGGAACTCGGGCTACAGACATGATTTTTAATCCATTTTAAATACTTAAAGTTTTAAAAATAGAATAAAATCTCGTAGACAAATTAATTGCACACCAAGTGAACGCCAAATAAAAAAGCGCATAATAGTGCGCAATATTATTAGTACTTTAAAAATTTACATTAATTTTTTGAGAAATCGGAAGTAGCGTAAATCACTACTTCCGGTCAACGGAAATTACTCAAAATATAACAGAAGGTAGAGACTTAGATCTTTTACTTACATGTAAAATTTCATTTATATATCTGAAATAGTACTCAAGTTATAGGCTTTTGAAAAATTCAAAGTAGAAAAACTTCCACTTCCGGTTATCGGAAATCGCTCAAAAGTTGATCAGGATCTACGATTTTGATAAAATACTTATATATGAAATTTCATCAACCTAGCTGTAACGGTACTCAAGTTATCGTGTTTACACACAGACAGACACACAGACATACGGACAGAATTGCAAAGTCCAGTTTTTACGACTCGATAACTCATAAAACGCCAAAACGTTTATATATTTGTATTTATAATTTTTGCCTGATTAAAATAAGTCCTCTATACTCCGGATGTGATGAAGGACTGAGGAGTAAAACGGTGGAAACTGTCAAAATTTCATGTTATTTTTGTGCACGATTACAATACTTTCTCTATACTTCGTATATACGAGAAAGTGAAAAGTAAGTGACCCACGACCCCCATGGAATTAAAAAGTCGAAATTAATAAGGAAATTTATAAGGATTAAAGTAAGATTTTCTTGTAGACTTTCAAAATAAATAAACATTGATAACTGTTTTAATACGATGAGTAAAATTTCAAATTAACTAGCCTCAACATTCGCAGTTGTGTTTTTGTTTACGCCAATCGCATGTTATTCTCAACATATAATATATTTCTGTGGTTTTACTTTCTCGTATATGCGAAGTAGGGGCCTATAGAGAAAGTCTTGTAATCGTACAAAAAAAAAATCGAAATGTTTGCAAATCTCGATGTTTTACAGCTCCCTTAATCGGAAAAACATAGCTTTGCAATCTTGACCGTATGTCTGTGTGTGTGTTAACACGATAACTTGAGTACCGTTACAGCCAGGTTGATGAAATTTCATATATAAGTATTATATCAAAGTCGTAGATCCGTATCAACTTTTCAGCGATTTCCGATAACCGGAAGTGGAACTTTTTCTACTTTGAATTTTTCAAAAGCCTATAAGTTGCGTACTATTTTAGATAGATGCATGAAATTTCACACGTAAGTAAAAGATCTAATTCTCTACCTTCTGTCAAATTTTGAGTAATTTCCGTTGACCGGAAGTAGTAATTTTCGCTATTTCCGATTTCTCAAAAGACGCATGTGAATCTATAAATACCTAATAATATTCCGCACTGTTATGCACATTTTATTTGGCGTTCATTTGGTATGCAATTCTTTTTTTCTACGAGATTTTATTCTATTTTAAAAAGTTTAAGTATTTAAAATGGATTAAAAATAATGTCTATATCCCGAGTTCCCATCCCCTGTTGTTTCCTATAAGAATAATCGAAAAAGTTTAGGGGAGATTACTCCCGGTTTAGGGGACGGAGAGGTCTAGCGGTAGAGTGCTGGACTACTAACCCTTAAGTCTCGAGTATGAATCCGGGTTCAAGTCAGTAGACCGTCCCTGAGTCCACCTAACTCTGATGGGTACCTAACTCACGTTAGGAAAAGTAAAGGCGGCTGGGCATAGTGCTGACCACACTATCTCTTCATATGCCAAGGTCACAGAAACAAGTGAACTCTACTTCACTTGCCCTATAGACCGTCAGGTTTGAAAAGGGAACTTTACTTTTTGCTCCCGGTTTATTATTATAGAAAACGAGCCGACCCGCAGCGTATCATACGCCGCTATTTAGTTGTATTATTTTCTATTTTTCAGTAATTTATAATTTGTGAATTCGACAGTACCAATGCTGCCATTGAAAATATTTGCTTTAAAACACTAACCCCCCCCCTTTCCCCTAACCCCGAACCTACACCCCCCCCCCCCCCCCCCCGTGAAAGCAGCCTCCTCTTAGTTATTTCTTAGTTACCTCCTGTAAGTTTAAAATCGAACTAAATTATCTGCCCCTAATAGAAACCCGGCTGTACGGCTCTACGATTTGTAAACATTTAGCTTTGTAAAAATTTAGAGTGAACACCGCTCACCAATGTTGGGGTGGGGTGGGGGGTGGTAGTGATAGCGATAGAGAGAAAGAGAGGGGACTGCAAGGAGGCGCTTGCAGCTTGTTTTCTAACTGATCCCAGAAGAGAATTATATATATAGATATGAACGTAAAGCTAATTCAATTGGGCGACAACAGCGTTTTCCCGGCCGTTTGACACACCTACGATTACGTTTGACACACCTACGATTACACGATTATGAAACTGGTGATGTTCGGCTACCTCCAGAAATGTTAACAACCGATATACAGGCGCAACCGGGGGTGAGTGAGATCATAGGCGTCGCGAGGCGGGGGTGCGGGCCGAACCAGGTGACACCATCTAAAATTGATTAGTTTATAACTAATTGTAATTAACAACTTGGTTTAATTATGTCCTTACTTCAGTGAACTAATTGTGAAAATGAAGAAATGATACAGACAAACAAACGTACAATACTGAATGTTTTATTACCAAAGGTAACAACAACCTACAGTAGTCTGTTTCTCATGACCTTTGACACAGATCCAAGGTTACAGTACATGTAAGGTTAAGGTCGATAAAACACAGCTTCAGTGCTTGTTCTCTACACTTGACAATGAAAAAAAAAACTTACAAGATCACTCAAAAACTAAAGTTACATTCAAATATTTTCGATTGGAAGATACTGGCCTATATGGGCATATAACCTTTAGTTTAAATCATCTCTCCAAGCAAAACTCAACGTAAATCATTTCTAAAGAAAAGAAAATGGCTGAACAGTTTGAGGGTAAATAAATGGCGCACGAGATGTTAGCTGTCAAGTAAAAGACTGAAGAAACAACTTTTTGCTGCGTCACGTGACCTTACAGTGTGTCATGTGACCTTACTGTTTGCTGCGTCATGTGACCTTCCTTACAGGTCGGTCAAAAAACTTTGGAACGTGTTAGTAGCGACACTTAACATTTATACAAAATGGCATTAGGACAACCAGTTGTACCAGCATCTATAGGTGCACCTACAGGTATTGGTGCACCTTTCAGGTGTTGGTGCACCTACAGGCGTTGGTGCACCTGTAGGTGAAGCACTCTGGAAGTTTGGTCTAGATAAAATACATATAAAATAGAAAATAGTGATGTATGTACAAAATATCTTTTCAATAGTGTAAAAACAATCAAAAAATGACAGCTATATTCAGATGACATGTAAATGTGCAGTTATGTAACCAGTGACACACCGTATGTAGGCCATATGTTGTGTGTTGTCTGATGACCATAGCACAGAAGACAACATTGAATGAGGACACACAAGCTGAAAACAACATCAAGAAAAGAAAAATATTCTAACCCCCCCTCCCCCCCCCCAGATACAAATAAACCACCTCCCCTATACACAAACATCTCCACCCAGAGTGTCACTAATCTCTCCCCCCCCCCTCTTTTTGTCGGTGGGTCCAGTGCTGACCAACGTCCAGTGGTTTGGCCAGCATGTGAACAACATTTTGTATTCGATTCTATGACAATGGTAAGATCTATCATGTGAATAACTTTCCAAACTTCAGGTTTCAGATCTAAAACTTCATGTTTCAGATCTAAAACTTCATGTTTCAGACCTAAAACTTCATGTTTCAGATCTAAAACTTCATGTTTCAGATCTAAAACTTCATGTTTCAGATCTAAAACTTCAGGTTTCAGAGGTTCATCTAAGCTCCTGATTCTAAAGTTATGCCATATTTCCACTAACAAAAAGAACATCAAGTTGAATGAAAATGACAGATAATGCAGTTAGCACTTAGTTTAAAAACTGAGCAGGCACACACACATACACAAGTAACCCCCCTCCTCTGCCCACACACACACAACACACCCACTCACACACTAGGTACAATTGATGTTTTCACGTCTGACTGGACTCATTGAGACAGATTCTAATTTTGTCAAAGTATTTTTAGATGACCTTATTAGCCCAGAGTTTTGATAGGAGTGTTAATTAGACTTTGTCGAGTGTTAATTAGACTTTGTCTAATTATTTAAAAAAAACACAACAGTCAGGTATTGCACAAAATATTCTCCACATTTAAAAGTTTTTGTATAAATCTCTGCCAATCAGATGGCAATTTGAGCGGAGATTAGAGCCAATCATCAGATGGTTGAGTGAATGATGATAGCACCATCTAAATAACAGAACCAAATCTCAAGTGTTGCTGGATATCCACTAAATAGTTGCTTCAAGCATCCAATGAATATTTGCTTCAAGCATTCACTGAATAGTTGCTTCAAGCATTCACTGAATAGTTGCTTCAAGCATTCATTGAATAGTTGCTTCAAGCATTCACTGAATAGTTGCTTCAAGCATTCACTAATTAGTTGCTTCAAGCATCCACTGAATATTTGCTTCAAGCATTCACTGAATATTTGCTTCAAGCATTCACTGAATAGTTGCTTCAAGCATTCATTGAATAGTTGCTTCAAGCATTCACTGAATAGTTGCTTCAAGCATCCACTAATTAGTTGCTTCAAGCATTCACTGAATATTTGCTTCAAGCATTCACTGAATAGTTGCTTCAAGCATTCATTGAATAGTTGCTTCAAGCATTCACTGAATAGTTGCTTCAAGCATCCACTAATTAGTTGCTTCAAGCATCCACTGAATATTTGCTTCAAGCATTCACTGAATATTTGCTTCAAGCATTCACTGAATAGTTGCTTCAAGCATTCATTGAATAGTTGCTTCAAGCATTCACTGAATAGTTGCTTCAAGCATCCACTAATTAGTTGCTTCAAGCATCCACTGAATATTTGCTTCAAGCATTCACTGAATATTTGCTTCAAGCATTCACTGAATAGTTGCTTCAAGCATTCATTGAATAGTTGCTTCAAGCATTCACTGAATAGTTGCTTCAAGCATCCACTAATTAGTTGCTTCAAGCATCCACTGAATATTTGCTTCAAGCATTCACTGAATATTTGCTTCAAGCATTCACTGAATAGTTGCTTCAAGCATTCATTGAATAGTTGCTTCAAGCATTCACTGAATAGTTGCTTCAAGCATCCACTAATTAGTTGCTTCAAGCATCCACTGAATAGTTGCTTCAAGCATTCACTAAATATATGCTTCAAGCATTGCTTCAGCTTGAAGCTTCCATTGAGCAAGTGTATTAAGCGTAATATTCCCTGTAGTCTCCCCTGGATGGGTAGGGTGACTTCTCCTGGTTGTGGGCCATGTCGTACACTATGTCGTCAGGCTGGGGCACGTACAGCGAGTTGAGCAGGTGGATCAGGTAGGACGTGATGCTGGTACAGATCACCTGGGGAGATAGCTTTTATACAGACAGCTGGGTGTGTTGGGGGGGGGGGGGGGGGGGGGGGGCTCACAGACCAGTTAAACCTTCTTACAGACCAGTTCAACCTTCTCACAGACCAGTTCAACCTTCTCACAGACCAGTTAAACCTTCTCACAGACCAGTTCAACCTTCTCACAGACCAGTTAAACCTTCTCACAGACCAGTTAAACCTTCTCACAGACCAGTTAAACCTTCTCACAGACCAGTTAAACCTGGATGACTGACCTGTAACACAAAGAAAAAGGCTGCGATGCCAATGACGACGACAATGTATCTGTCAAGAAAAGCTTGAAGTTTGATCTGACAGCCGTCCTTCCAGATGTCAGTGCTCAGCTCCCTGTCTGACTGGGCTACGTACATCTGGCAGTTGGTGGGGGACGACTGGTAGCGGTAGTAGTTCTTGCAGCAGGTGGCTGGCACCACCTTGGTTCCTGGGCTGTTGACTGACACTTGCATTAGCCAGGACGACTCCAAGTAGTCTAAGGGGGAATTCCCACCACAACACTCCAACTGGCAGGAGAAAAAGTCATCTCAGTCAAGTCATAGACATACATCAAGTCATGGACATACATCAAGTCATGGACATACATCAAGTCAAGTCATAGACATACATCAAGTCATAGACATACATCAAGTCATAGACATACATCAAGTCATGGACAAACATCAAGTCATGGACATACATCAAGTCATGGACATACATCAAGTCAAGTCATAGACATACATCAAGTCATGGACAAACCTCAAGTCATGGACATACATCAAGTCATGGACATACATCAAGTCATAGACATACATCAAGTCATAGACATACATCAAGTCATAGACATACATCAAGTCATGGACATACATCAAGTCATGGACAAACCTCAAGTCATGGACATACATCAAGTCATAGACATACATCAAGTCATGGACATACATCAAGTCATGGACAAACCTCAAGTCATAGACATTCATCAAGTCATGGACATACATCAAGTCATGAACAAACCTCAAGTCATGGACATACATCAAGTCATGGACATACATCAAGTCAAGTCATGGACATACATCAAGTCATGGACATACATCAAGTCATGGACATACATCAAGTCATGTACACTGTGACACTACTTCGGTCTTCTTTTATAATAGTTTAAATTTATTAATGCTCAAATGGCCTAGAGCTCTCTTTTATTAAACTAAGAAATTTTCCACCAGACTCATGTGGCAGTGTTCACAACTGTGCTCGTGCTACTTGTGTTTTGGATCCCCCCAATAGTCCTTGACCTTTATGTCGATATCCCATAATCCTTTGGTGATAGAAATATAAAAAGGAGAATTTCACAACACACTGCGCGAGACACCCACAGAGAGAGAGAGCACAAGTTATCCATATTGTGATTTTTAGATTAGGTAGCAATTTCCTCAAAGTTCTAGTGTATACTGGATCTTATTTTCCTAGAGTGTAGGTTGTGTTGATTAATTAGGAACTTTATCAAGTGTTAGTAGTTAGAGATCTGAGTGTTATTCTTGAACTAGTAAGTTGGGTTTTACATTATTAGATATTTTCTACATTGTATTTTATTAGTTAGTTTAAAATTGTTATGTTTTAGGTTTTATGTCTGATTAAAAGTCCTATTAGATTCAGGAGTTCTTTGTATTTATAAATTCACCCTAGACATTAGTTATTGAGTCTATGAAGAGTTTCTGTTTTTTAGTAGTTCTTTTATAGTTTTATTTAGATTCAGTCCAGAAACCCACCCGAAAGAATCCGGGTATTATGTAAGTTAATTTAGTAGTAGAAGTTTGTAACATATAGTGGGGGCTCGTCCGGGATCTAATTTGTCTTTCAAGTTTAAATATTCCTAGGAAAACTCTAGATCTAGTTATTTCCTCACAGTTCAGAGATAGCAAACAGTTTCCTGGACTAGTCCATTTTATTTAGGTCAAGGAGAGTTATTGATCGTGTTCCTGTTGGACAATCTTATTTTGGTAGGGTTGTTCTCTTTTGTTGTGTGTAGTTTGATCAAAGATGGAGTCGTTTCTTTCCAACCCTTCGGTCGAGGCATTAGAGAAACTAATACGGAAAGATCTAATTGCTGTTGTGTTTTTAAATTCTTTCGGGAAGTACGTAACAACACACATCAAGACATGGACAAATGTCAAGTCATGGACAAATGTCAAGTCATGGACATACATCAAGTCATGGACATGTGTTTACCTCAGATTGCATGATGTCAATGACCCTTGTAACCATCTTGGAGTAATCTTGCACATAAGATGTTTTGATCAATTTTTGCAGTGTGTCCCCACGTACAAGACTTCTCTCCAGCTAAACCAGACATTGAAAGGTGTCAATCATGAGGCATCATTACAATTGGGTTGAGATAGAGCATTAGTTCATTAGAAAATAATTAACTGCTCAATTAAAAAATTAAATCAGTAAGTTAGAGAATTAACCATTTAGAGAATTATGTATATTAATTTGCTAATTTAAAGGGATATGCATGGCTTTTTTTCTATTTTTTACTTTTTACTATTTTTTTAATACTTTTACCATGTTTGGCACACGAAAGTAGATATTAAACAGCAAAAAAGGGTTAAAAACAATTTTGGTTGTCATGGAAACCCAAAAAAAACTCCACCATTTTGAAGTTTTCGGTACTTTTAAAAATGTTAATGCTTTTTTACTTTCTCGTATATACGAAGTATAGAGAGAGTATTGTAATCGTGCACAAAAATAACATGAAATTTTGACAGTTTTCACCGTTTTACTCCTCAGTCCTTCATCACATCCTGAGTATAGAGGACTTATTTTAATCAGGCAAAAATTATAAATACAAATATATAAACGTTTTGCCGTTTTATGCGTTATCGAGTCGTAAAAACTGGACTTTGCAATTCTGTCCGTATGTCTGTGTGTAAACACGATAACTTGAGTACCGTTACAGCTAGGTTGATGAAATTTCATATATAAGTATTTTATCAAAATCGTAGATACTGATCAACTTTTGAGCGATTTCCGATAACCGGAAGTGGTACTTTTTCTACTTTGAATTTTTCAAAAGCCTATAAGTTGCGTACTATTTTAGATAGATGCATGCAATTTCACATGTAAGTAAAAGATCTAATTCTCTACCTTCTGTCAAATTTTGAGTAATTTCCGTTGACCGGAAGTACTAATTTACACGATTTCCAATTTCTCAAAAAACGCATGTAAATTTATAAAGTACTAATAATATCCCGCACTTTTATACACATTTTATTAGGCTTTCACTTGGTGTGGGAGGGAGTGGTCTAGCGGTAGAGAGCTGGACTGCTAACCCATTAGTCTCGAGTTCAAATCCGAGTTCAAGTCAGTAGACCGTCCCTGAGTCCACCCAACTCTGATGGGTACCTAACTCCTGTTAGGGAAAGTAAAGGCGGCTGGGCATAGTGCTGACCACACTATCTCTTCATATGCCGAGGTCACAGAAACAAGTGAACTCTACTTCACTTGCCCCATAGACCGTCAGGTTTGAAAGGGAAACTTCACTTGGTGTGCAATTCTTTTTTTTTACGAGATTCTATTCTATTATAAAAAGTTCAAGTTTAAGTAATTAAAAATGGATAACAAATATTGTCTATGTCCTGAGTTGCCATATCTCGTAATTTTATATTAGAATATTCGAGAAAGTTTAGGGGAGATCACTCCCGGTTTATTATTTATGCACCTATAGCAATCAAATTTAAACTGCTTATATTTCAGTATATATTAAAACTTTTGTCATGACAACTTTTTGATATAGCTACAAGTAAGAATTTTACAAAGTCTAAAAACTGTACCTTTTTAGTATATAAAAGTTTCAAAATTTGCATATTAATTACCAAATACTTTTTTCTATGAAAGCCATCACAATTCCCTGGTGAAAAAAGTTGTATTTTTGCATGAAGAACAATTACTGAAATATGGTGGGCATTGTTTAATTAATAAATAAACCGGGAGTGATCTCCCCAAAACTTTCTCGAATATTCTTATATAAAATAACAGGGGATGGGAACTCTGGCTATAGACAAAAATTTTAATCCAGTTTAAATACTTAAAGTTTAAAAAAAATTTCATAAAGAAAAGCGTGGGTCACTTTAGTATCAATTGGATACCTTCACTAATGTTTAGGAAGAGACCCACGCTTTTCTTTATAGTTATTTAAATAGTAGTCTATAATTTATTTTCTACTTTTTAGTGCATTAGTACATAAAAGCTTGTGATTAAAACATTTTTTATGAAATTTTTTTTCAGTACTTTATATGTTTTATTTACAATAGAGTTACATGACTAAAAACCATTGCGTGCCTACTGAACTTGATGGCGCAGCTATTGAACATGATGACGCGTGTGGTGTGGTTGGATAGACATGCCTACTAATTCTGTCCAAATTTTAATTAATTCATAAAAAATTAATTAGGCATCCAATTAAGTCAAATTTAATTTCAGATTGCATTGTCTTCATGTCTTGACCCACGTGTCAAATGTGAATCGTATCGGTCAAGTAGAACTGTCCGCATTTTCACTCCTGCGTTTCGATCTAGACTGACGACAGACAGTCGAGGAAGTGAGTTAAATAAAAGCTTGTAAAAATAGAATAAAATCTCGTAGACAAAAGAATTGCACACCAAGTGAACGCCAAATAAAAAAGTGCATAATAGTGTGCAATATTATTAGTACTTTAAAAATTTACATCAGTTTTTTAAAAAATCGGAAGTAGCGTAAATTACTACTTCCGGCCAACGGAAATTACTCAAAATTTAACAGAAGGTAGAGAATTAGATCTTTTACTTACATGTGAAATTTCATTTATCTATCTGAAATAGTACTCAAGCTATAGGCTTTTGAAAAATTCAAAGTAGGAAAAGTACCACTTCCGGTTATCGGAAATCGCTCAAAAGTTGATACGGATCTACGATTTTGATAAAATACTTATATATGAAATTTCATCAACCTAGCTGTAACGGTACTCAAGTAATCGTGTTTACACACGGACAGACACACACACACAGACAGACACACGGACAAGATTGCAAAATTATGTTTTTCCGTATCAGTGAGGTGTAAAACGGCTCGATTTTTTTTTGCACGATTACAATACTTTCTCTATACTTCATATATACGAGAAAGTAAAAAGTAGTAGGCTTTTTTAGTGTTAAAAACCTGCAAACTGAGAAAAACAGCCAAAATTAACGAACAGTAGGTCACAAAAATACCATACATGACAACTTACCTCATCCCTGTAGATGACCCCATACAACTTACCTCATCCCTGTAGATGACCCCATACGTGACAACTTACCTCGTCCCTGTAGATGACCCCATACGTGATAACTTACCTCATCCCTGTAGATGACCCCATACGTGACAACTTACCTCATCCCTGTAGATGACCCCATACGTGACAACTTACCTCATCCCTGTAGATGACCCCATACGTGATAACTTACCTCATCCCTGTAGATGACCCCATACGTGACAACTTACCTCATCCCTGTAGATGACCCCATACAACTTACCTCATCCCTGTAGATGACCCCATACGTGACAACTTACCTCGTCCCTGTAGATGACCCCATACGTGATAACTTACCTCATCCCTGTAGATGACCCCATACGTGACAACTTACCTCATCCCTGTAGATGACCCCATACGTGACAACTTACCTCATCCCTGTAGATGACCCCATACGTGATAACTTACCTCATCCCTGTAGATGACCCCATACGTGACAACTTACCTCATCCCTGTAGATGACCCCATACGTGACAACTTACCTCATCCCTGTAGATGACCCCATACGTGACAACTTACCTCATCCCTGTAGATGACCCCATACGTGATAACTTACCTCATCCCTGTAGATGACCCCATACGTGATAACTTACCTCATCCCTGTAGATGACCCCATACGTGACAACTTACCTCATCCCTGTAGATGACCCCATACGTGATAACTTACCTCATCCCTGTAGATGACCCCATACATGATAACTTACCTCGTCCCTGTAGATGACCCCATACGTGACAACTTACCTCATCCCTGTAGATGACCCCATACGTGACAACTTACCTCATCCCTGTAGATGACCCCATACGTGATAACTTACCTCATCCCTGTAGATGACCCCATACGTGATAACTTACCTCATCCCTGTAGATGACCCCATACGTGATAACTTACCTCATCCCTGTAGATGACCCCATACATGACAACTTACCTCATCCCTGTAGATGACCCCATACGTGACAACTTACCTCATCCCTGTAGATGACCCCATACATGATAACTTACCTCATCCCTGTAGATGACCCCATACATGACAACTTACCTCATCCCTGTAGATGACCCCATACATGACAACTTACCTCATCCCTGTAGATGACCCCATACGTGATAACTTACCTCATCCCTGTAGATGACCCCATACGTGATAACTTACCTCATCCCTGTAGATGACCCCATACGTGATAACTTACCTCATCCCTGTAGATGACCCCATACGTGATAACTTACCTCATCCCTGTAGATGACCCCATACGTGACAACTTACCTCATCCCTGTAGATGACCCCATACGTGACAACTTACCTCATCCCTGTAGATGACCCCATACGTGATAACTTACCTCATCCCTGTAGATGACCCCATACAACTTACCTCATCCCTGTAGATGACCCCATACGTGACAACTTACCTCATCCCTGTAGATGACCCCATACGTGATAACTTACCTCATCCCTGTAGATGACCCCATACGTGATAACTTACCTCATCCCTGTAGATGACCCCATACGTGATAACTTACCTCATCCCTGTAGATGACCCCATACATGACAACTTACCTCATCCCTGTAGATGACCCCATACGTGACAACTTACCTCATCCCTGTAGATGACCCCATACATGACAACTTACCTCATCCCTGTAGATGACCCCATACGTGATAACTTACCTCATCCCTGTAGATGACCCCATACGTGATAACTTACCTCATCCCTGTAGATGACCCCATACGTGATAACTTACCTCATCCCTGTAGATGACCCCATACGTGATAACTTACCTCATCCCTGTAGATGACCCCATACGTGACAACTTACCTCATCCCTGTAGATGACCCCATACGTGACAACTTACCTCATCCCTGTAGATGACCCCATACGTGATAACTTACCTCATCCCTGTAGATGACCCCATACATGACAACTTACCTCATCCCTGTAGATGACCCCATACGTGACAACTTACCTCATCCCTGTAGATGACCCCATACGTGACAACTTACCTCATCCCTGTAGATGACCCCATACGTGACAACTTACCTCATCCCTGTAGATGACCCCATACGTGATAACTTACCTCATCCCTGTAGATGACCCCATACGTGACAACTTACCTCATCCCTGTAGATGACCCCATACGTGATAACTTACCTCATCCCTGTAGATGACCCCATACGTGACAACTTACCTCATCCCTGTAGATGACCCCATACGTGATAACTTACCTCATCCCTGTAGATGACCCCATACGTGACAACTTACCTCATCCCTGTAGATGACCCCATACGTGATAACTTACCTCATCCCTGTAGATGACCCCATACGTGACAACTTACCTCATCCCTGTAGATGACCCCATACGTGACTGCTCCAACTGTTAACCCCATGGCTGCCACTAGTCCAATCAAGTACTGGACAAGGGAAGAAAGTCAATCAAACAGTGGGGATAGGGTTAATGGTCCAAGGTCTAGCATCTATTTCAGGCCTAATGGTCTAACATCTACTGAAGGTCTAATGGTCTAGCATTTACTGAAGGTCTAATGGTCTAACATCTACTGAAGGTCTAATGGTCTAGCATCTACTGAAGGTCTAGCATCTACTGAAGGTCTAATGGTCTAGCATTTACTGAAGGTCTAATGGTCTAACATCTACTGAAGGTCTAATGGTCTAGCATTTACTGAAGGTCTAATGGTCTAACATCTACTGAAGGTCTAATGGTCTAACATCTACTGAAGGTCTAATGGTCTAACATCTACTGAAGGTCTAATGGTCTAGCATCTACTCAAGGTCTAGCATCTACTGAAGGTCTAATGGTCTAACATCTACTGAAGGTCTAATGGTCTAACATCTACTGAAGGTCTAGTGTGCTAGCATCTACTGAAGGTCTAATGGTCTAGCATCTACTCAAGGTCTAGCATCTACTGAAGGTCTAAAGGTCTAACATCTACTGAAGGTCTAATGGTCTAACATCTACTGAAGGTCTAGTGTGCTAGCATCTACTGAAGGTCTAATGGTCTAACATCTACTGAAGGTCTAATGGTCTAGCATCTACTGAAGGTCTAATGGTCTAACATCTACTGAAGGTCTAGCATCTACTGAAGGTCTAGCATCTACTGAAGGTCTAGCATCTACTGAAGGTCTAATGGTCTAGCATCTACTGAAGGTCTAAAGGTCTAGCATCTACTGAAGGTCTAAAGGTCTAGCATCAACTGAAGGTCTAATGGTCTAGCATCTACTAAAGGTCTAATGGTCTAGCATCTACTCAAGGTCTAGCATCTACTGAAGGTCTAATGGTCTAACATCTACTGAAGGTCTAATGGTCTAGCATTTACTGAAGGTCTAATGGTCTAGCATCTACTGAAGGTCTAAAGGTCTAACATCTACTGAAGGTCTAAAGGTCTAGCATTTACTGAAGGTCTAATGGTCTAGCATCAACTGAAGGTCTAAAGGTCTAACATCTACTGAAGGTCTAAAGGTCTAGCATTTACTGAAGGTCTAATGGTCTAGCATCTACTGAAGGTCTAGCATCTACTGAAGGTCTAATGGTCTAGCATCTACTGAAGGTCTAATGGTCTAGCATCTACTGAAGGTCTAATGGTCTAGCATCTACTGAAGGTCTAGCATCAACTGAAGGTCTAATGGTCTAACATCTACTGAAGGTCTAATGGTCTAACATCTACTGAAGGTCTAGCATCTACTGAAGGTCTAATGGTCTAGCATCTACTCAAGGTCTAGCATCTACTGAAGGTCTAATGGTCTAGCATCAACTGAAGGTCTAATGGTCTAACATCTACTGAAGGTCTAATGGTCTAGCATCTACTGAAGGTCTAATGGTCTAGCATCAACTGAAGGTCTAATGGTCTAGCATCTACTGAAGGTCTAAAGGTCTAGCATCTACTCAAGGTCTAGCATCTACTGAAGGTCTAGCATCTACTGAAGGTCTAAAGGTCTAACATCTACTGAAGGTCTAGCATCTACTGAAGGTCTAATGGTCTAGCATCTACTGAAGGTCTAATGGTCTAGCATCTACTGAAGGTCTAAAGGTCTAGCATCTACTGAAGGTCTAATGGTCTAGCATCTACTGAAGGTCTAATGGTCTAGCATCAACTGAAGGTCTAATGGTCTAGCATCTACTGAAGGTCTAGTGGTCTAACATCAACTGAAGGTCTAAAGGTCTAGCATCAACTGAAGGTCTAATGGTCTAACATCTACTGAAGGTCTAATGGTCTAACATCTACTGAAGGTCTAATGGTCTAGCATCAACTGAAGGTCTAATGGTCTAGCATCTACTGAAGGTCTAATGGTCTAGCATCTACTCAAGGTCTAGCATCTACTGAAGGTCTAGCATCTACTGAAGGTCTAAAGGTCTAGCATCTACTCAAGGTCTAGCATCTACTGAAGGTCTAGCATCTACTGAAGGTCTAAAGGTCTAGCATCTACTCAAGGTCTAACATCAACTGAAGGTCTAGCATCTACTGAAGGTCTAAAGGTCTAGCATCTACTCAAGGTCTAGCATCTACTGAAGGTCTAGCATCTACTGAAGGTCTAAAGGTCTAGCATCTACTCAAGGTCTAACATCAACTGAAGGTCTAGCATCTACTGAAGGTCTAAAGGTCTAGCATCTACTCAAGGTCTAGCATCTACTGAAGGTCTAGCATCTACTGAAGGTCTAAAGGTCTAGCATCTACTCAAGGTCTAGCATCTACTGAAGGTCTAGCATCTACTGAAGGTCTAAAGGTCTAGCATCTACTCAAGGTCTAGCATCTACTGAAGGTCTAGCATCAACTGAAGGTCTAAAGGTCTAGCATCTACTCAAGGTCTAGCATCTACTAAAGGTCTAGCATCTACTGAAGGTCTAGCATCTACTGTAGGTCTAATGGTCTAGCATCTACTGAAGGTCTAAAGGTCTAGCATCTACTGAAGGTCTAGCATCTACTGAAGGTCTAGCATCTACTGAAGGTCTAGCATCTACTGAAGGTCTAGCATCTACTGAAGGTCTAAAGGTCTAGCATCTACTGAAGGTCTAGCATCTACTCAAGGTCTAGCATCTACTAAAGGTCTAGCATCTACTGAAGGTCTAGCATCTACTGTAGGTCTAATGGTCTAGCATCTACTGAAGGTCTAAAGGTCTAGCATCTACTCAAGGTCTAACATCAACTGAAGGTCTAGCATCTACTGAAGGTCTAAAGGTCTAGCATCTACTCAAGGTCTAGCATCTACTGAAGGTCTAGCATCTACTGAAGGTCTAAAGGTCTAGCATCTACTCAAGGTCTAGCATCTACTGAAGGTCTAGCATCAACTGAAGGTCTAAAGGTCTAGCATCTACTGAAGGTCTAGCATCTACTAAAGGTCTAGCATCTACTGAAGGTCTAGCATCTACTCAAGGTCTAGCATCTACTCAAGGTCTAGCATCAACTGAAGGTCTAAAGGTCTAGCATCTACTGAAGGTCTAGCATCTACTAAAGGTCTAGCATCTACTGAAGGTCTAGCATCTACTGTAGGTCTAATGGTCTAGCATCTACTGAAGGTCTAAAGGTCTAGCATCTACTGAAGGTCTAGCATCTACTGAAGGTCTAGCATCTACTGAAGGTCTAGCATCTACTGAAGGTCTAGCATCTACTGAAGGTCTAAAGGTCTAGCATCTACTCAAGGTCTAGCATCTACTGAAGGTCTAGCATCTACTGAAGGTCTAGCATCTACTAAAGGTCTAATGGTCTAGCATCTACTGAAGGTCTAGCATCAACTGAAGGTCTAAAGGTCTAGCATCTACTCAAGGTCTAGCATCTACTGAAGGTCTAGCATCAACTGAAGGTCTAAAGGTCTAGCATCTACTCAAGGTCTAGCATCTACTGAAGGTCTAATGGTCTAGCATCAACTGAAGGTCTAGCATCTACTGAAGGTCTAATGGTCTAGCATCAACTGAAGGTCTAGCATCTACTGAAGGTCTAATGGTCTAGCATCTACTGAAGGTCTAAAGGTCTAGCATCTACTGAAGGTCTAATGGTCTAGCATCAACTGAAGGTCTAGCATCTACTGAAGGTCTAAAGGTCTAGCATCTACTCAAGGTCTAGCATCTACTCAAGGTCTAGCATCAACTGAAGGTCTAAAGGTCTAGCATCTACTGAAGGTCTAAAGGTCTAGCATCTACTCAAGGTCTAGCATCTACTCAAGGTCTAGCATCAACTGAAGGTCTAAAGGTCTAGCATCTACTCAAGGTCTAGCATCTACTGAAGGTCTAGCATCTACTGAAGGTCTAATGGTCTAACATCTACTGAAGGTCTAGCATCTACTGAAGGTCTAATGGTCTAGCATCAACTGAAGGTCTAATGGTCTAGCATCTACTCAAGGTCTAGCATCTACTGAAGGTCTAGCATCAACTGAAGGTCTAAAGGTCTAGCATCTACTCAAGGTCTAGCATCTACTGAAGGTCTAGCATCTACTGAAGGTCTAAAGGTCTAGCATCTACTCAAGGTCTAACATCAACTGAAGGTCTAGCATCTACTGAAGGTCTAAAGGTCTAGCATCTACTCAAGGTCTAGCATCTACTGAAGGTCTAATGGTCTAGCATCTACTGAAGGTCTAATGGTCTAGCATCTACTGAAGGTCTAATGGTCTAGCATCTACTGAAGGTCTAATGGTCTAGCATCTACTGAAGGTCTAATGGTCTAGCATCTACTGAAGGTCTAATGGTCTAGCATCTACTGAAGGTCTAATGGTCTAGCATCTACTGAAGGTCTAATGGTCTAGCATCTACTGAAGGTCTAATGGTCTAGCATCTACTGAAGGTCTAAAGGTCTAGCATCAACTGAAGGTCTAATGGTCTAGCATCTACTGAAGGTCTAATGGTCTAGCATCTACTGAAGGTCTAAAGGTCTAGCATCAACTGAAGGTCTAATGGTCTAGCATCTACTGAAGGTCTAATGGTCTAGCATCTACTGAAGGTCTAATGGTCTAGCATCTACTGAAGGTCTAATGGTCTAGCATCTACTGAAGGTCTAATGGTCTAGCATCTACTGAAGGTCTAATGGTCTAACATCAACTGAAGGTCTAATGGTCTAGCATCTACTCAAGGTCTAGCATCTACTGAAGGTCTAATGGTCTAACATCTACTGAAGGTCTAATGGTCTAGCATCTACTGAAGGTCTAATGGTCTAACATCTACTGAAGGTCTAAAGGTCTAGCATCTACTGAAGGTCTAATGGTCTAGCATCTACTGAAGGTCTAATGGTCTAACATCAACTGAAGGTCTAATGGTCTAGCATCTACTCAAGGTCTAGCATCTACTGAAGGTCTAATGGTCTAACATCTACTGAAGGTCTAATGGTCTAGCATCTACTGAAGGTCTAATGGTCTAACATCTACTGAAGGTCTAAAGGTCTAGCATCTACTGAAGGTCTAATGGTCTAGCATCTACTGAAGGTCTAATGGTCTAGCATCTACTGAAGGTCTAGCATCTACTCAAGGTCTAGCATCTACTGTAGGTCTAGCATCTACTGAAGGTCTAATGGTCTAGCATCTACTGAAGGTCTAATGGTCTAGCATCTACTGAAGGTCTAGCATCTACTCAAGGTCTAGCATCTACTGAAGGTCTAATGGTCTAGCATCTACTGAAGGTCTAATGGTCTAGCATCTACTGAAGGTCTAAAGGTCTAGCATCTACTGAAGGTCTAATGGTCTAGCATCTACTGAAGGTCTAGCATCTACTCAAGGTCTAGCATCTACTGTAGGTCTAGCATCTACTGAAGGTCTAAAGGTCTAGCATCTACTGAAGGTCTAATGGTCTAGCATCAACTGAAGGTCTAATGGTCTAACATCTACTGAAGGTCTAATGGTCTAGCATTTACTGAAGGTCTAATGGTCTAGCATTTACTCAAGGTCTAATGGTCTAGCATCAACTGAAGGTCTAATGGTCTAACATCTACTGAAGGTCTAATGGTCTAGCATTTACTGAAGGTCTAAAGGTCTAGCATTTACTCAAGGTCTAGCATCTACTGAAGGTCTAAAGGTCTAACATCTACTGAAGGTCTAAAGGTCTAGCATTTACTCAAGGTCTAACATCTACTGAAGGTCTAATGGTCTAGCATCTACTGAAGGTCTAGCATCTACTCAAGGTCTAGCATCTACTGAAGGTCTAGCATCTACTGAAGGTCTAATGGTCTAACATCTACTGAAGGTCTAATGGTCTAACATCTACTGAAGGTCTAATGGTCTAGCATCTACTGAAGGTCTAATGGTCTAGCATCAACTGAAGGTCTAATGGTCTAACATCTACTGAAGGTCTAATGGTCTAACATCTACTGAAGGTCTAATGGTCTAACATCTACTGAAGGTCTAATGGTCTAGCATCTACTGAAGGTCTAATGGTCTAGCATCAACTGAAGGTCTAATGGTCTAGCATCAACTGAAGGTCTAATGGTCTAACATCTACTGAAGGTCTAATGGTCTAGCATCTACTCAAGGTCTAGCATCTACTGAAGGTCTAAAGGTCTAGCATCAACTGAAGGTCTAATGGTCTAACATCTACTGAAGGTCTAGCATCTACTGAAGGTCTAATGGTCTAGCATCTACTGAAGGTCTAATGGTCTAGCATCTACTCAAGGTCTAGCATCTACTGAAGGTCTAAAGGTCTAGCATCAACTGAAGGTCTAATGGTCTAACATCTACTGAAGGTCTAATGGTCTAGCATCTACTGAAGGTCTAGCATCTACTGAAGGTCTAGCATCAACTGAAGGTCTAATGGTCTAACATCTACTGAAGGTCTAATGGTCTAGCATCTACTGAAGGTCTAATGGTCTAGCATCTACTGAAGGTCTAATGGTCTAGCATCTACTGAAGGTCTAAAGGTCTAGCATCTACTGAAGGTCTAATGGTCTAGCATCTACTGAAGGTCTAATGGTCTAGCATCTACTGAAGGTCTAATGGTCTAGCATCAACTGAAGGTCTAATGGTCTAACATCTACTGAAGGTCTAATGGTCTAACATCTACTGAAGGTCTAATGGTCTAGCATCTACTGAAGGTCTAGCATCTACTGAAGGTCTAATGGTCTAGCATCTACTGAAGGTCTAATGGTCTAACATCTACTGAAGGTCTAATGGTCTAGCATCTACTGAAGGTCTAATGGTCTAGCATCAACTGAAGGTCTAATGGTCTAACATCTACTGAAGGTCTAATGGTCTAGCATCTACTGAAGGTCTAGCATCTACTGAAGGTCTAATGGTCTAGCATCAACTGAAGGTCTAATGGTCTAGCATCTACTGAAGGTCTAATGGTCTAACATCTACTGAAGGTCTAGCATCTACTGAAGGTCTAATGGTCTAACATCTACTGAAGGTCTAATGGTCTAGCATCTACTCAAGGTCTAGCATCTACTGAAGGTCTAATGGTCTAGCATCAACTGAAGGTCTAATGGTCTAACATCTACTGAAGGTCTAGCATCTACTGAAGGTCTAGCATCTACTGAAGGTCTAATGGTCTAGCATCTACTCAAGGTCTAGCATCTACTGAAGGTCTAATGGTCTAGCATCAACTGAAGGTCTAATGGTCTAACATCTACTGAAGGTCTAATGGTCTAGCATCTACTGAAGGTCTAATGGTCTAGCATTTACTGAAGGTCTAATGGTCTAGCATCAACTGAAGGTCTAATGGTCTAGCATCAACTGAAGGTCTAAAGGTCTAGCATCTACTGAAGGTCTAATGGTCTAGCATCTACTGAAGGTCTAATGGTCTAGCATCTACTGTAGGTCTAATGGTCTAGCATCTACTGAAGGTCTAATGGTCTAACATCTACTGAAGGTCTAATGGTCTAGCATCTACTGAAGGTCTAGCATCTACTGAAGGTCTAATGGTCTAGCATCTACTGTAGGTCTAATGGTCTAGCATCAACTGAAGGTCTAATGGTCTAACATCAACTGAAGGTCTAATGGTCTAGCATCTACTGAAGGTCTAAAGGTCTAACATCTACTGAAGGTCTAATGGTCTAGCATCTACTCAAGGTCTAGCATCTACTGAAGGTCTAAAGGTCTAGCATCAACTGAAGGTCTAATGGTCTAACATCTACTGAAGGTCTAGCATCTACTGAAGGTCTAATGGTCTAGCATCTACTGAAGGTCTAAAGGTCTAGCATCTACTGAAGGTCTAAAGGTCTAGCATCTACTGAAGGTCTAATGGTCTAGCATCTACTAAAGGTCTAATGGTCTAGCATCTACTCAAGGTCTAGCATCTACTGAAGGTCTAATGGTCTAGCATCAACTGAAGGTCTAATGGTCTAGCATCTACTCAAGGTCTAGCATCTACTGAAGGTCTAATGGTCTAGCATCTACTGAAGGTCTAATGGTCTAGCATCAACTGAAGGTCTAATGGTCTAACATCTACTGAAGGTCTAATGGTCTAGCATCTACTCAAGGTCTAGCATCTACTGAAGGTCTAAAGGTCTAACATCTACTGAAGGTCTAGCATCTACTGAAGGTCTAATGGTCTAGCATCTACTGAAGGTCTAATGGTCTAGCATCTACTGAAGGTCTAGTGTGCTAGCATCTACTGAAGGTCTAATGGTCTAGCATCTACTCAAGGTCTAGCATCTACTGAAGGTCTAAAGGTCTAGCATCAACTGAAGGTCTAATGGTCTAACATCTACTGAAGGTCTAGCATCTACTGAAGGTCTAATGGTCTAGCATCTACTGAAGGTCTAAAGGTCTAGCATCTACTGAAGGTCTAAAGGTCTAGCATCTACTGAAGGTCTAATGGTCTAGCATCTACTGTAGGTCTAATGGTCTAGCATCTACTGAAGGTCTAGCATCTACTGAAGGTCTAGTGTGCTAGCATCTACTGTAGGTCTAATGGTCTAGCATCTACTGAAGGTCTAGTGTGCTAGCATCTACTGTAGGTCTAGTGTTCTAGCATCTACTGAAGGTCTAGAGTGCTAGCATCAGTCATAAAAGGCTCTCTAACTGACTTACCACAACCAGAGGTAACTTCTTCTTCAGGCATCCCCCAATGAGTCCTGAGATGGAGAATGCCACAATGACAGCCCCAGCTGCCAGAGAGATGTAGATGAGAATGAGGTACCTGTCCAAGCCAATGTCTATCTGAATGTATTCATTGGTCCAGAAGTCTAGACGGAACCACAGCACAATACCAAATATGGCTGCCCCAACCAGCTGACAGAGAAAAAAACATGTTCAGTACAGTTGTTTCAAGTCAGCTGACAACTAATTTTAGAAAACTGCAGCTCAACACTAAACACATCCTTAAATCTGTGTTGTCCCTTTCTTAACCTAAAATTCACTACATGTGTAAGTGTATGAGATGGCTGGCTCTTTGGGGGGGGGGGGGGGGGGGGTTGAAATCGACCAGAGAGAAATGAAAAACGAATGAAAGCTGTATGCAAGCAAAGTAGTGACAGAAAGCATAAATCAATTGCCCAGAAATGGCGGCGTACTTTTCCAGCGGGTTCGACATCATCTACCCCTAAATGGAAACTAAACTTTCTTTCATAAAAGCTATGGTTTCTAAAATATGTAAAAGATCTCATGAGCGACCAAAGCTTTTATGAAAGCAAGCTAATTAGTTGTATGTACTTATTTTTCAGAGCATTTAAAAGCAGTTGCTATTAAAGTGTTTTGTTTAATTTGAGTAAGCTACCATGGCACTTAACACAGAATTGGCTATTTTTCTTTAAAAACACCCAAAACATCTTAGTAATAAAACTTTATAATTAGTATGTCAATTAAGGAAATATTAGGCATATTTACTATAAATTCTACATACATTGTAAGACATTACATGCTTAGTTTAAAAATAGATCCCCATAAATTAATACCCAAAAATTAAAAATAGAGCAGACAAGAATCTAGATCTATTCCTGGAAAAGACAGCACACTATAGATAGATTACGCACAGATTCACTTTTTTAATTGTAAAATTTAGCCTACTTCATTTTATTACAGTCCACCTACAGCCTACAGTGATAAAAAAAATAATCAATTCATCGCAATGGACACCAGCGAGAAAAGTCTCAAAGGTATTTGAGAGGTCCATAAATTAATTTAAAAATCATGCACGACGTAGTTACAATTAATATGGATATAAAATCCTGCCTATCTGTTTTTTTTCGGACTTTACTAAAGATTGGATGTATTTGATGTTTTTAATATTTTCAGTAACTAAATAAAAATTAAAAAAAATAAGCAAAAACAATTTGGTTTTCACGTGTAATGGCGACATAAACAATGGCATCCTGTTATTCGATAGGCCGCCATAAATTTTATTGTACACATTGTAAGCTAAAAATAGAAAAACTAGGTCATGGGGTTTAAATTTGCATTGTTATTTAAAAACTTGATCTGCAAAGTTTTGTAAACAAAATAACTATAAAGTGGGGCTGTCAGAAATCGATCACGGAGTTCCTTTACAGCCAATCAATGTTTGTCTTACGAAAGTGAAACATCGGGTTATAATTTAGGCTTGATGAAAATAAATAGAAATGTAGCCTTAAACTCAACAAATTATTTTCAAGTTCTCTGGATCTGCAACTTGTATAGCATTGATTCTAAAAATATTAAATTTCTGAATTAATTTTAGGCTTAAGTTTTTAATAAAATTTTATCTTTTATTATTTTTACGGTCCTAAATCTAAAAAAGCACGTTTTTATTCCATGTCAACAACATTACGGAAGGATTTTCATCAACTCACTGGTGTCCATTGCTAATACAATATTACTTTACATAATTTTACTTCTTCTGTACCTGCTATAAATAAATTAATAATACTAGACTTAGCAGTTCATTCTGCAAAAAACAAAAATAAGTTGTTTTATCCGACAAAAGCATAACAATGATGTAACAGTACTAAAAATGGCTGACAGAAATGAATAATTTAATGTTGCATCTGTACCTCACGTGAGAAACAGATTTTGGAATAAAGAAAAAATAAGACATGGTAAATATTTCAAATATATATTAATCACTTATTAGTCTATTGCGGGTAGGGCATTTCATCCGGGTGGTCGATCATTTTTGGCAGCAGTTCCGTTTCCACAAGAAATCATATTATTAATTACTGCTACATATCTTACAAAATTTTCTGGCATTTTAAGGCCTAGTGTCCATTTCCTTAGTGCCTCACACTAAAATATGGAGATTTTTGCAAGATTAACAGTTTTTTCATGTGTTGTAGATAGGACCCTTAAAATTAAAAACGTACAAAAATGGAGAATGTCGTTTCAGTATTAGATGTCAGGTTCTAGGAGAAGGTTTACTATGTAATAGTTGACTACCGCTTATTCTCTCCAAGACCCTAGGGTATGTGGTGCAAATATGTATGCGCATGCGCAAGCAATCTTTGTGTATAACATTCAGCTTCTTGACATGGTGTCAACTATTAAGGTGGTCGAAGCACACCAGATAGCTTGCTCTGGTGGCCGTGGGTTCCATTCATTTGAGCTATGAGCTTGTTTTTTTTTTTTGGCTATTTTTTCTTATTTCACTTAAAACAAGCTGAAGTTGAACTTTTGAAGGGTTACAGTTTAGCTACAGGGTTACCATTCATGATCGCTATTAAGGCATTAGGGTTTGGGGCAGTTTTTCTTTCAGAATTTTTCTCTGGGTGGCACTTGAATTTTTCAGGAGGGGGGGGGGGGGGGGGTTCAGGGGTACAGCCTCCCAAAGAGATGCCTAAAAGAAACTCTGGTTAGGGATGATTAAGGTTTTGCATTAGGGTAAATATACGCATGTACCGTACAAAATTGTGGTTCGGGGGTTTTATTGTCAAAACAAACATCTATTATCCCATTGCGAGGTTGATAGATCGATAATTAAGCTTAATTATATGAAAAATAGACAAATAAGAAGTATAAATAAAAAAACATGAATAGCCTCGCAACAGAGCCTCTTTCTCAATGGCGATGACGTCATGTTAAAAATAAACGCTTTTGATGACTTTCTTGTATAATAATTAAGATTTCCCTATGATTTTTAAAAAAATTCCATTTTTTTTCATAGAAAGTTCAATCTAATTATGGCACACACACTAGCACCAATTTGGTTGAGTCTAGGTTAGTAATTAAAATTTTAAAAAGCTCAAAGTTGACCAATTTTTTCGTTTGGTCTACATTATCGGGAGCAAATTTAAATTTTGTTTTCTGCCATAGACATTACTATCACCTAAAAATAACTTAAATTAGGCCTACACAGAAAAACCACCCTTTTTAGCGTGATTAATATTTTAAAACTTATGTTGAGATAGACAATTAAACAAAGCAAAAAAAAAATGTGTCCAATCGTATGCCAGGTTAGGTAGCCATATAGAATATATTTTCTAGATCTAGTTGTTAGCAACCGACCACTCCTTTTACTTTTAGGTTTGTGAGCATCGCAATTAGTCACCTTTCTTTCACATCACTAGATTTAGCTTCGGCTGATAATGATATTACATTATGATTATAATACATATTGCTGTCCTAAAACAATAGACTTAAAATTTAAAATTAGGCCTAGGCCTATCTAAAATATTATTAAATCTAGAATTTAGATCTAGATCCTAGTACTTAAGTACTAGACTAGTACTAAACTTACTAAAACTAGATCTATTAGTAATTTTTAGTATAATCATAATGTCAATGAGTAGATCTATACTCTATAGCCTACTATAATGTATAAGTATTATCAAGTACGTAGGCCCTAGGCCTAGGCCTATAGGCCTATATAATATATATAAATTATATAGATTCTAGGCCCTATATAAGTAAACTTAAGTTAACTTGAAGTTAGTAAGTTAAAGTATTACAAACCCATAAAAAGCACAAGAAAATTGTCAATACAACTTTCAAGCAAAAGAGTTTTTGATCGGTCCTCATTGTAATTTGTTTTATTTATTTTTTACGATGGATCATCTCATAATTAGATTTTCTAGTAGACTCTAGATCAAATTTTCTAGATCTAGTCTAGACTTAGTTGTTCTGGATACAATTCATTATCGGGAGTCCAGATCGTAGGTGATTCAACTCCACAGACTTTGTTGTTAGTTCCTACTTCCGTGTGACCTCGATTTTGTCCAAAAGGGGGCGTCTTCTGTGTTTCCTGTGTGTCACAACAGGCCCCCACACTACTCAGTACAGCCTGTAAACTCAGTGTAAACGTAGATCTATATCTAGTTACATTTATCCTGACTGTCGAACTATACATCAAATACATTGTTTTTTTTGGCTAAGATTACAAGCATTAATAGTAGCATATAAAATATTATCATAAATGATCGATTATAGATACAATGCAATTATTCGTAACTGAAACTGGTTTATACAATAAAAGTAATGACATAGGCTACTGCAAATACATGAGACATAGATCAAGCTTCCCTCTCATTTTCAGGCGAAAGTCTATAATTATGGTTTTAAACACATAATAATAATAATTATGTAGATCTAACTACTAAAAATATAAATTAGAGGTCTTATCCATAAATGACATCACTCTTTTTTAACGATTTTTACCTCCACCCGTCACAAAAAGCCAGCCCCTCCCCCCCCCTAAAATGACGCCACACCTCAGCCTACACCCTCCGCCCCTCAAAATTGCAGTTGAAGTTTGCTTGAAATACGATACTTTTCCAAAATCTTGTCTGAACTCTGTCAATATAGAGTATTTTAATCAATTTATATTACAATTACATATTACAATTTATTAAAACTACAAAAAAAAAATGTTAAGTCCTCTCATTTGTACTTTAAAAAATTAAAATAAAAAAAATAAAATGTCTTTATCATTAAAAGTGTTTAAAGTTCAAGTGACCCTTGCACTGTTCCAGCCACGATTCGAGCGCTTTAAAAAGTTACAGACACAAAGACTGTTTACTCATTCTTTATTCAATAACGGTAACAACGTTAGGTGCTGAGGCCTTTTTTCACATTGGCCGGTTAAAAAAAAAAACATTTTTACTTTCTCGTATTTACAAAGTATCGCTTTTTTCTGTTTGCCCTTTTTTCTGTTTGCGCTTTTTCTGTGTGCGATTTTACGTACCCAAAACGATAGACTACTATAATTTTAAATAGAATCTACATTTCCTTTTTATACAATGCCGTTCTTTAGTAGATCTAGATCTATGTATTTTTAAAAATAGTAATAATTATTAATTATTAAGAGAAGTAATTGCTTTTTAATTTGTTTAGTACAAATAAACGAGAATCAATGGCTAAATATATCAATATAGGCCAGTAATTAACTTTAAACAGCAATGTTTGCAAGCAAGATCCTAATATATAAAAGGCCATGTGCGCTATGCTCTCTCTCTCTGTCCGCAAAATATTTTCGCCGGACATCACATCAGAATCTTCAGCGATTATAGAGAACTTTATACGGACTTTTGTTGAAAATAATATGTTAGATGTTTTAAATGTATAACCACAATTTTATTTAAAGAAGAAAAATAAAAAATAAAGGCGTATTCGAATGTAGAAAAACAATTTTAATTATGCAACCGGAAAAGTGTTTAAACTTGGGACAAGAACGCATGTAACAATGACGTCGCTTATTGTTTACAGTTTACACTAAAAAAAAAGAGCACGAAACTGATGACGTCATCTTCCGAGTTTAGAATAAAAAGAAATGAACTATTTCATTCAAATAAAATTTATACAATACAATTTTGCTCGGGCTAAACTTAAAAAAAAATTCTATTAGGATTCTAAATCTAGATATTCTAGATCTAGAAATTCTAGATCTAGATCTAGATTATCTAGTTCAACGGAAAAACTAGACTTACACAACACAGATGTAGACCCTACCTAGATCTAGAATCTATTCAAATAATACATTTCTATACTAAAGTATTTCAGGCCTTAATTACTTTATTGAAATCTTTGTTTATCTTTTTTTTTTCTAAATGTTATAATACTTTTATTTTCAAATAGAAATAAATACATCAGCATTATACAAATATGTGTGAGCGTGTGTTAGTCTTCAACATAGTTCAAACATTTACAAAATTATCATTACATGAAAAAAATGGTAAACTTTTTTTTTAATGTCGCATTTTTTAATTTTTTTTAAATACTTTTATTTGCAATTTAAAATAAGTATCCTACATCAACATCAAATTCTTACATAATTTAATTTCGAACATCAAATGAAAACGAAATAGTACTACAATATATTACAATATATTACAATAGTAATATTTCTTTCTTACTTTGTAGCCTGCCTTCATTCATTTAAGATGGTTTACATATACATAGATGTAATACAAAACGTCTAAATATAAAGAAAAATTAAAAATTAAAAACCAACCTGAAACTGAAAATGTTGGTTTATCTGTGCAATTCGCTAATCTCTATCTAATATATAAAGCTCAGTTCTGTATTGTAACGCATATGTTTGGCGTTGGTCTTGGGTGGATTTAAGTGTTAGACAATTATCGTGCGCATTTGTCTAAATTTATGAGTTAAAAAATTACTTTTGAAAGTGTTGGGAAATAATTTTCATTTTTTTAAATTATAGTAACAATTGTCGGCATGTTCATTAAACACAAGTTTTAAAAAAATATCATCTTTTACAAAAATTCTAATTATGTCTTTATTTAGTCCTATAGCACTTACTTCCCTTTGATAAATTAGGAAAACACAATTACTTCCCTTTATAAAACCATTGCATTAGTGGAAAAGAATTTACTTTTTATTACTTTGTTTTGGTGTTGGGAAAAAAAATAATTACATAATTAGCGGGGATTGATCAAGTGCAAATGTTGTAGGTATTTTACGGATAAGCTTGGAGTATTAAAATTGTTCATTAAATTGAAACAGGCGCGTTCGTTTAAGTGAGTGCAAAAGACTATGAATAAGTTGGGGTACTATAGTCGTTCATTAAGCTAAAACAGGTGATTCCGCCCCGGGCGTTTATGTTCGCGTTAGTGTTTTCTTTGTGTTTAGGTGGGTTTGCGTTAGTGGTTGCGTTTTGATTCGTTTTTGTTCTTTCTTTTTTCGTTTTTGTTTGTGTTTTTTGTTTGGGTTTGTATTTGTGTTTTTGGTTGGTTTTGCGTTTGGATTTGGTTTGTTTTCGTTTGCTTTTTCGTTGTTTTTTTGTTGTTGTTGGTATTGGTGTTTGTGGTTGGGTTTGTTGTTAGGTTTTTGTTTTCGTTTGCTTTTTTGTTTGTTTTTTCTTTGTGTTTGTATTGGTGTTTGTGGTTGGGTTTGTTGTTAGGTTTTTGTTTTCGTTTGTATTTGTAATTGTGTTAGCGTTATGTTTGCGTTTTGTTGTTTTGGTTGGTTGTGGTTTGGGTGGGCAATGCCGGGTTTATGATGATTACTAAACACACAGGTAATGGTCTTTAACAGAAAGGTTTTTCACAGAAGCCAGAGCAGGGCCTGGCCGGGACGGCTAGTAATATATAAAGCAAAGTTGTCGGGTGCCCGATATGGCACTTCCCGGCGCCGCAGGCGCATCAAATTTGGCAGGATCTTGCCTTGGGGCGACAGAACACGGCGGCCGGTTGGCCGAAAAGTCTACGATGAGGGGGTCAAAACTGACCTTGACTGACCGGCGCCTTGTATGAGCTATAAATCGAAAAGAAATGTCCACGTAGGAACCTCTTCATAACTCCTGAGGTCGTAGACCGACCCTCGGGCGAATTAATTAAGCATTCAAATTCGCAATGTTTTCAAAAGCCTAAGCGAAGCTGGGCAGCATGCCTAGTTTGTTATATAAACAGCGGCCGTCTGTAAATAAGAGTGGTTTCCCCTGAATCTCAAAGTATAATTTACCTAAAAAACTTAGAAGCAAGATGGCCGTTAAAGAAAATGAGCTTGGTTGCAGCTCATTTATGAAAACATTGCTAGTCTTTAGAACTAGATCTAGATCTACCTAGATCTAGATCTATATATTACTGAAAAGTTTTACAATTGTACTATTTTACAATTGTTTAAAACCGGTACATTTAATTTATTAAAATTTGAAACATTTGTGTAACTTTCATTAGATTAGAGGCCCTACTTTCAAAAACGTGATGATATTTGATAGTTTTGATAGGCCTAGTAAATTGGCCTAAATCGGATGATTATATTATATAATTATAATATTATTTTATATATAATAATATTAGGGCCTAGATTTTCATATAGTATAATTAATAATTATTAATGGACACGAGCGAGAAAACTCTCAAAGGTATTTGAGAGGTGTATAAATTAGTTTAAAAATCAGGCACGGCGTAGTTACAATTAATATGGTTATAAAATCTTGTCTGTCTGGTTTTTTTCGGACTTTACTAAAGATTGGATGTATTTGATGTTTATAATATTTTCGGTAATTAAAAAAAAAGCAAAAACAATTTGGTTTTCACGTGTAATGGCGACATAAACAATGGCATCCTGCTATTGGATAGGCCGCCATTGATTTTATTGTACACATTGTAAGCTAAAAATAGAAAACTAGGTCATGGGGTTTTTAATTTGCATTGCTATTTAAAAACTTGATCTGCAAAGTTTTGTAAACAAATAGTTATCGATCACTAAGTTACTGTACAGCCAATCAATATTTGTCTTACGAAAGTGAAACATCCGGTTATAACTTAGGCTTGTTGAAAATAAATAGAAATGTAGCCTTAAACTCAACAAATTATTTTCAAGTTCTCTGGATTTGCAACTTTTATAGCATTGATTCTAAAAATATAAAATTTGTAAATTAATTTTAGGCTTAAGTTTTTATTTTTTATTTTTTTTTACGGTCTAAATCTAAAAAGCACGTTTTTATTCCATGTCAACAATACTATGGAAGGAATCTCGTCAACTCGCTCGCCTCCATTAAGTATAATAATAAGGGGAGAATTTTTACACCGGTGTCCGATAATGGAATCTTCTTTAAAAAGGGGTGTTAGGTTACTGGTAGTGGTAATCTATCGTTTTGGGTACGTAAAATCGCAAGCGGCTAATAATGTACGAAAACGTTACCTCATTGTCAAGGCTTTAATAGAAGTATATTGTGATATGTTTGTGTCAAATATTATAGATAAATGAATATTAAACCTAAATCAATGGCTAAATAAATCAATATAGGCCAGAACTTAACTTTAAACAGGTGTGTCTTCGAGCAAGATTTGCCATTTGTAAAATAGAGTTGCTTCCCCCTGAATCTCGCATTATAAGTTTATAAAAATAAAACTTAAACAAGATGGCTGCTATGAAGCATGGTTGCATCTGTTGGAAACATCGCTAGTCTTTATTTATTACTGAAAAGTTTTAATTCAATTGTTTAAAAACATGTACATGAATGAAACAAGGAAACATTTTTGTATTTTAAAAATCATAAATCCTCCTCAAAATGTGAAATAATTATTAAAATTTAAGGAGTCACCTGTTTTTCACATTACAAATCGCGGTGGATTTTACGTACCTAAAACGATAGATTACCCTGGTAGTTATTAACTAAATTACTTATTACACACATGGCTGGTTATGTGGTTAATTTAATGTCAATGCTAACCCTGTCCCTAACTCCAACCCTGGTCCTACCATTATAGGGCGTATGATACGCCTAACCCTAATTTCTAACCATAAATAAGTCGAGATTACAATACTACAAACTACAAACAACCCAACACACCTATTTTTATGGAAGAGTCTATTAATATCAGACACCGGTATCTATAATTATCCGTAACTTTTAAAACATAAGTCACATATCCTCTTAATAACTTAAAGTGTTAAATAATTAGAATTAATTAGATCTACTAAAATTTGATGAGTCAACTTTCTTTCACATTACGAACCCCAGACAATTTTACTTCATTAGAGCTATAGATAACCAAATCAACAAAACAATTAGTCTTAATTCTAGATCAGATTGACTTGCTATTGCACTGTTTGCTATTGAGAAAGACAGGCTTATTTTTTTTAGGGTTATCAACGGTTATGTTATGGATGGAAGTGTAAACCTGGTAGGCCTAAACCAAACATAAAGTATCATACAGCCAGTGGTAGGCCTAAACCAAACATAAAGTATCATACAGCCAGTGGTAGGCCTAAACCAAACATAAAGTATCATACAGCCAGTGGTAGGCCTAAACCAAACATAAAGTATCATACAGCCAGTGGTAGGCCTAAACCAAACATAAAGTATCATACAGCCAGTGGTAGGCCTAAACCAAACATAAAGTATCATACAGCCAGTGGTAGGCCTAAACCAAACATAAAGTATCATACAGCCAGTGGTAGGCCTAAACCAAACATAAAGTATCATACAGCCAGAATTGGGTTTGAATAAAAACTCTTAAATATTAGTAAATAAAATAAAATGAGGTCCATTTGAATCTAGATCTAATAAAATGATGAATTGGGTTTGAATAAAAACTCTACTACTCTACAGATTTGCTGCAATGGCTTTGAGAAGAGTGTCAGCACAAGTCATCAGCCAACCACTCGCTTGCACAGTTTTCTCTTCTGCTTTTTCTGGTCATGTGACCAGCCACACACAGGCTGATAGAGGATGTGGTCATGTGACCAGCCACACACAGGGTGAAAGAGGATGTGGTCATGTACCTGTCTCTGGTCATATACCTGTCTTGGTCAAGGAGGTACTGAGTGTGTTGGAGCCCAAAGACAATCAGGTAGGTCATAAGGTCAAGGTTCATTACAGGTTAGTCAGAAGATGATCAGATAAAGTTGGTAGTTTGCCTGCCTAAGTTGATAGTTTGCCTACCTAAGTTGATAGTTTGCCTGCCTAAGTTGATAGTTTGCCTACCTAAGTTGATAGTTTGCCTACCTAAGTTGATAGTTTGCCTGCCTAAGTTGATAGTTTGCCTACCTAAGTTGATAGTTTAGTTTGCCTGCCTAAGTTGATAGTTTGCCTGCCTAAGTTGATAGTTTGCCTACCTAAGTTGATAGTTTGCCTACCTAAGTTGATAGTTTGCCTACCTAAGTTGATAGTTTGCCTGCCTAAGTTGATAGTTTGCCTACCTAAGTTGATAGTTTGCCTGCCTAAGTTGATAGTTTGCCTACCTAAGTTGATAGTTTGCCTGCCTAAGTTGATAGTTTGCCTACCTAAGTTGATAGTTTGCCTGCCTAAGTTGATAGTTTGCCTACCTAAGTTGATAGTTTGCCTGCCTAAGTTGATAGTTTGCCTGCCTAAGTTGATAGTTTGCCTACCTAAGTTGATAGTTTGCCTGCCTAAGTTGATAGTTTGCCTGCCTAAGTTGATAGTTTGCCTACCTAAGTTGATAGTTTGCCTGCCTAAGTTGATAGTTTGCCTACCTAAGTTGATAGTTTGCCTGCCTAAGTTGATAGTTTGCCTGCCTAAGTTGATAGTTTGCCTGCCTAAGTTGATAGTTTGCCTACCTAAGTTGATAGTTTGCCTACCTAAGTTGATAGTTTGCCTACCTAAGTTGATATTTTTCCTGCCTAAGTTGATATTTTTCCTGCCTAAGTTGATATTTTTCCTGCCTAAGTTGATGGTTTGCCTGCCTAAGTTGATATTTTTCCTACCTAAGCTGATATTTTTCCTGCCTAAGTTGATATTTTTCCTGCCTAAGTTGATATTTTGCCTGCCTAAGTTGATGGTTTGCCTGCCTTAGTTGATAGTTTGCCTACATAAGTTGGTAGTTTGTCTACATAAGTTGGTAGTTTGCCTACCTAAGTTTTGTAGTTTGCCTACCTAAGTTGATATTTTTCCTACCTAAGTTGATATTTTTCCTGCCTAAGTTGATGGTTTGCCTGCCTAAGTTGATATTTTTCCTACCTAAGCTGATATTTTTCCTGCCTAAGTTGATATTTTGCCTGCCTAAGTTGATATTTTGCCTGCCTAAGTTGATGGTTTGCCTGCCTTAGTTGATAGTTTGCCTACATAAGTTGGTAGTTTGTCTACATAAGTTGGTAGTTTGCCTACCTAAGTTGATAGTTTGCCTACCTAAGTTGGTAGTTTGCCTACCTAAGTTTTGTAGTTTGCCTACCTAAGTTGATATTTTTCCTACCTAAGTTGATATTTTTCCTGCCTAAGTTGATGGTTTGCCTGCCTAAGTTGATATTTTTCCTACCTAAGCTGATATTTTTCCTGCCTAAGTTGATATTTTGCCTGCCTAAGTTGATATTTTGCCTGCCTAAGTTGATGGTTTGCCTGCCTTAGTTGATAGTTTGCCTACATAAGTTGGTAGTTTGTCTACATAAGTTGGTAGTTTGCCTACCTAAGTTGATAGTTTGCCTACCTAAGTTGGTAGTTTGCCTACCTAAGTTTTGTAGTTTGCCTACCTAAGTTGATATTTTTCCTACCTAAGTTGATATTTTTCCTGCCTAAGTTGATATTTTTCCTACCTAAGTTGATATTTTTCCTGCCTAAGTTGATATTTTTCCTGCCTAAGTTGATATTTTTCCTGCCTAAGTTGATATTTTGCCTGCCTAAGTTGATGGTTTGCCTGCCTTAGTTGATAGTTTGCCTACATAAGTTGGTAGTTTGCCTACCTAAGTTGATAGTTTGCCTACCTAAGTTGGTAGTTTGCCTACCTAAGTTTTGTAGTTTGCCTACCTAAGTTGATATTTTTCCTACCTAAGTTGATATTTTTCCTGCCTAAGTTGATATTTTTCCTGCCTAAGTTGATATTTTTCCTGCCTAAGTTGATATTTTTCCTACCTAAGTTGATAGTTTGCCTACCTAAGTTGGTAGTTTGCTTACCTAAGTTGGTAGTTTGCCTACCTAAGTTGATATTTTGCCCGCCTAAGTTGATAACTGAAAAAAAAATCATTTTTGAAACAATTTGTTTTGTTTGGTAAAAAAAAAATGTAGACTAGTGTGAGTACTAGATCTAAATTCATCATCATCGTCATCATCATCGTCATCATCATCGTCATCATTCCTGTGGACCCCAGGTGGCTGATTCAGCTTTACTGACAGCTGAAATTTTCATGTTTGTTTTGGCTGATCTACTTTCCTTGAGTGTACTAAATTAGTGTTCCAGGAAAATATCAGGAAAGAAATGTGCTGAAAAATTTGATTTTAAATACTTGTAATCAAGGATCTACTTCTGGTAACTGTCACCAAAGGGAAAGTAGCCACCTTAAGTATCCCATCTCCAGCCGCTATTTGTGGCTACTTCTATCAGTTGATTTTGGGGGATGTTCCACGTTTTTACCTCATTAAAATGATGAAAAAAAAAAGTGTTATATTCATTTTAACATTATGTTTTATATCTATTTTTTTTATAATCCCAAACCAGTGTTTTAGAATTTTAACTCTACTGACATTTTCTAAGTAACTACTAAATGGATTTAACTCTTTATTTCAAAAAGTGGCCTGGACTTAGTACCTATTGTTTTTTCTGATGATTTAATTGTTTTTAATAATTAAAAATTAATTTCTGTCAGGTAATTGTGGACATTAATTTCTGTCAGGTAATTGTGGACATTAATTTCTGTCAGGTAATTGTGGACATTAATTTCTGTCAGGTAATTGTGGACATTAATTTCTGTCAGGTAATTGTGGACATTAATTTCTGTCAGGTAATTGTGGACATTAATTTCTGTCAGGTAATTGTGGACATTAATTTCTGTCAGGTAATTGTGGACATTAATTTCTGTCAGGTAATTGTGGACATTAATTTCTGTCAGGTAATTGTGGACATTAATTTCTGTCAGGTAATTGTGGACATTAATTTCTGTCAGGTAATTGTGGACATTAATTTCTGTCAGGTAATTGTGGACATTAATTTCTGTCAGGTAATTGTGGACATTAATTTCTGTCAGGTAATTGTGGACATTAATTTCTGTCAGGTAATTGTGGACATTAATTTCTGTCAGGTAATTGTGGACATTAATTTCTGTCAGGTAATTGTGGACATTAATTTCTGTCAGGTAATTGTGGACATTAATTTCTGTCAGGTAATTGTGGACATTAATTTCTGTCAGGTAATTGTGGACATTAATTTCTGTCAGGTAATTGTGGACATTAATTTCTGTCAGGTAATTGTGGACATTAATTTCTGTCAGGTAATTGTGGACATTAATTTCTGTCAGGTAATTGTGGACATTAATTTCTGTCAGGTAATTGTGGACATTAATTTCTGTCAGGTAATTGTGGACATTAATTTCTGTCAGGTAATTGTGGACATTAATTTCTGTCAGGTAATTGTGGACATTAATTTCTGTCAGGTAATTGTGGACATTAATTTCTGTCAGGTAATTGTGGACATTAATTTCTGTCAGGTAATTGTGGACATTAATTTCTGTCAGGTAATTGTGGACATTAATTTCTGTCAGGTAATTGTGGACATTAATTTCTGTCAGGTAATTGTGGACATTAATTTCTGTCAGGTAATTGTGGACATTAATTTCTGTCAGGTAATTGTGGACATTAATTTCTGTCAGGTAATTGTGGACATTAATTTCTGTCAGGTAATTGTGGACATTAATTTCTGTCAGGTAATTGTGGACATTAATTTCTGTCAGGTAATTGTGGACATTAATTTCTGTCAGGTAATTGTGGACATTAATTTCTGTCAGGTAATTGTGGACATTAATTTCTGTCAGGTAATTGTGGACATTAATTTCTGTCAGGTAATTGTGGACATTAATTTCTGTCAGGTAATTGTGGACATTAATTTCTGTCAGGTAATTGTGGACATTAATTTCTGTCAGGTAATTGTGGACATTAATTTCTGTCAGGTAATTGTGGACATTAATTTCTGTCAGGTAATTGTGGACATTAATTTCTGTCAGGTAATTGTGGACATTAATTTCTGTCAGGTAATTGTGGACATTAATTTCTGTCAGGTAATTGTGGACATTAATTTCTGTCAGGTAATTGTGGACATTAATTTCTGTCAGGTAATTGTGGACATTAATTTCTGTCAGGTAATTGTGGACATTAATTTCTGTCAGGTAATTGTGGACATTAATTTCTGTCAGGTAATTGTGGACATTAATTTCTGTCAGGTAATTGTGGACATTAATTTCTGTCAGGTAATTGTGGACATTAATTTCTGTCAGGTAATTGTGGACATTAATTTCTGTCAGGTAATTGTGGACATTAATTTCTGTCAGGTAATTGTGGACATTAATTTCTGTCAGGTAATTGTGGACATTAATTTCTGTCAGGTAATTGTGGACATTAATTTCTGTCAGGTAATTGTGGACATTAATTTCTGTCAGGTAATTGTGGACATTAATTTCTGTCAGGTAATTGTGGACATTAATTTCTGTCAGGTAATTGTGGACATTAATTTCTGTCAGGTAATTGTGGACATTAATTTCTGTCAGGTAATTGTGGACATTAATTTCTGTCAGGTAATTGTGGACATTAATTTCTGTCAGGTAATTGTGGACATTAATTTCTGTCAGGTAATTGTGGACATTAATTTCTGTCAGGTAATTGTGGACATTAATTTCTGTCAGGTAATTGTGGACATTAATTTCTGTCAGGTAATTGTGGACATTAATTTCTGTCAGGTAATTGTGGACATTAATTTCTGTCAGGTAATTGTGGACATTAATTTCTGTCAGGTAATTGTGGACATTAATTTCTGTCAGGTAATTGTGGACATTAATTTCTGTCAGGTAATTGTGGACATTAATTTCTGTCAGGTAATTGTGGACATTAATTTCTGTCAGGTAATTGTGGACATTAATTTCTGTCAGGTAATTGTGGACATTAATTTCTGTCAGGTAATTGTGGACATTAATTTCTGTCAGGTAATTGTGGACATTAATTTCTGTCAGGTAATTGTGGACATTAATTTCTGTCAGGTAATTGTGGACATTAATTTCTGTCAGGTAATTGTGGACATTAATTTCTGTCAGGTAATTGTGGACATTAATTTCTGTCAGGTAATTGTGGACATTAATTTCTGTCAGGTAATTGTGGACATTAATTTCTGTCAGGTAATTGTGGACATTAATTTCTGTCAGGTAATTGTGGACATTAATTTCTGTCAGGTAATTGTGGACATTAATTTCTGTCAGGTAATTGTGGACATTAATTTCTGTCAGGTAATTGTGGACATTAATTTCTGTCAGGTAATTGTGGACATTAATTTCTGTCAGGTAATTGTGGACATTAATTTCTGTCAGGTAATTGTGGACATTAATTTCTGTCAGGTAATTGTGGACATTAATTTCTGTCAGGTAATTGTGGACATGACATTTGGTGCGGGAGGACATGCCAGACGTCTGCTGGAGCTGGCACCAAATGCTCGCTACTTCGCCTGTGACAGGGACCCACTAGGATATGAAAATGCTGTCAAGCTGTCAAATGAATACAGGCAAGTTTGTTGAATGTCACTGTCATAAGATGTCATGTAAACAAGTTGTCATTGAATGTCACTGTCATAAGATGTCATGTAAAAATATTCAGACAAATAAGTACTAGTAATATAATATTAATTTCACTAACAATTTTATTTTTATTTGCATTAGTAGAGTCAAGGTGTTGTCGTGATATGTGATATTATATTATTCAATATAAATAAACTAGGCTATACCCGATTGACCCCTATATGTATTTGTCATGGAAAAAAATTGTTGTGACTTTCATTGTTTGACTATCCCTGGCCACACTGGTTGACCTTAAGGGGGGTTTGAGCACAGTTTTTAAAAATATTTAAATTAATAAAATAAAACAGCTTTTCAACGGCTGATATTATTTACAACAAAATAACAATTGGTGTAATATATTTTTATCAAAAAGGTTTAATTTTTACAAATGTAATTATAATTTAATTGCTTGCCATATTTTTAAAAACACTTAAAAAACAAATTTAGCATGATTACATAGTCTTTTCAAGCCTATTAAGAACAAAGAATAAATCCTCTTTCTGAGAGTCTTGTGTACATCCCAGTGATGTTTCCTGTAGGCAGGTTGTCCCTGTGATGTGTAAGTTCTCTGATGTCTCCTGCAGGCAGGTTGTCCCTGTGATGTGTAAGTTCTCTGATGTCTCCTGGTTGTCCCTGTGATGTGTAAGTTCTCTTATGTCTCCTGGTTGTCCCTGTGATGTGTAAGTTCTCTGATATCTCCTGCAGGCAGGTTGTCCCTGTGATGTGTAAGTTCTTTGATGTCTCCTGGTTGTCCCTGTGATGTGTAAGTTCTCTGATGTCTCCTGCAGGCAGGTTGTCCCTGTGATGTGTAAGTTCTCTGATGTCTCCTGGTTGTCCCTGTGATGTGTAAGTTCTCTGATGTCTCCTGGTTGTCCCTGTGATGTGTAAGTTCTCTGATGTCTCCTGCAGGCAGGTTGTCCCTGTGATGTGTAAGTTCTCTGATGTCTCCTGTAGGCAGGTTGTCCCTGTGATGTGTAAGTTCTCTGATGTCTCCTGCAGGCAGGTTGTCCCTGTGATGTGTAAGTTCTCTGATGTCTCCTGTAGGCAGGTTGTCCCTGTGATGTGTAAGTTCTCTGATGTCTCCTGGTTGTCCCTGTGATGTGTAAGTTCTCTGATTTCTCCTGCAGGCAGGTTGTCCCTGTAATGTGTAAGTTCTCTGATGTCTCCTGGTTGTCCCTGTGATGTGTAAGTTCTCTGATGTCTCCTGGTTGTCCCTGTAATGTGTAAGTTCTCTGATGTCTCCTGGTTGTCCCTGTGATGTGTAAGTTCTCTGATGTCTCCTGGTTGTCCCTGTGATGTGTAAGTTCTCTGATGTCTCCTGTAGGCAGGTTGTCCCTGTGATGTGTAAGTTCTCTGATGTCTCCTGGTTGTCCCTGTGATGTGTAAGTTCTCTGATGTCTCCTGGTTGTCCCTGTAATGTGTAAGTTCTCTGATGTCTCCTGGTTGTCCCTGTGATGTGTAAGTTCTCTGATGTCTCCTGCAGGCAGGTTGTCCCTGTGATGTGTAAGTTCTCTGATGTCTCCTCAGGCAGGTTGTCCCTGTGATGTGTAAGTTCTCTGATGTCTCCTGCAGGCAGGTTGTCCCTGTAATGTGTAACTTCTCTGATGTCTCCAGGTTGTCCCTGTGATGTTTAAGTTCTCTGATGTCTCCTGCAGGCAGGTTGTCCCTGTGATGTGTAAGTTCTCTTATGTCTCCTGGTTGTCCCTGTGATGTGTAAGTTCTCTGATGTCTCCTGCAGGCAGGTTGTCCCTGTGATGTGTAAGTTCTCTGATGTCTCCTGGTTGTCCCTGTGATGTGTAAGTTCTCTGATGTCTCCTGTAGGCAGGTTGTCCCTGTGATGTGTAAGTTCTCTGATGTCTCCTGGTTGTCCCTGTGATGTGTAAGTTCTCTGATGTCTCCTGGTTGTCCCTGTGATGTGTAAGTTCTCTGATGTCTCCTGCAGGCAGGTTGTCCCTGTGATGTGTAAGTTCTCTGATGTCTCCTGGTTGTCCCTGTGATGTGTAAGTTCTCTGATGTCTCCTGGTTGTCCCTGTGATGTGTAAGTTCTCTGATGTCTCCTGGTTGTCCCTGTGATGTGTAAGTTCTCTGATGTCTCCTGCAGGCAGGTTGTCCCTGTGATGTGTAAGTTCTCTGATGTCTCCTGTAGGCAGGTTGTCCCTGTGATGTGTAAGTTCTCTGATATCTCCTGCAGGCAGGTTGTCCCTGTGATGTGTAAGTTCTCTGATGTCTCCTCAGGCAGGTTGTCCCTGTGATGTGTAAGTTCTCTGATGTCTCCTGGTTGTCCCTGTGATGTGTAAGTTCTCTGATGTCTCCTGCAGGCAGGTTGTCCCTGTGATGTGTAAGTTCTCTGATGTCTCCTGGTTGTCCCTGTGATGTGTAAGTTCTCTGATGTCTCCTGCAGGCAGGTTGTCCCTGTGATGTGTAAGTTCTCTGATGTCTCCTGCAGGCAGGTTGTCCCTGTGATGTGTAAGTTCTCTGATGTCTCCTGCAGGCAGGTTGTCCCTGTGATGTGTAAGTTCTCTGATGTCTTCTGTAGGCAGGTTGTCCCTGTGATGTGTAAGTTCTCTGATGTCTCCTGGTTGTCCCTGTGATGTGTAAGTTCTCTGATGTCTCCTGCAGGCAGGTTGTCCCTGTGATGTGTAAATTCTCTGATGTCTCCTGGTTGTCCCTGTGATGTGTAAGTTCTCTGATCTCTCCTGTAGGCAGGTTGTCCCTGTGATGTGTAAGTTCTCTGATGTCTCCTGCAGGCAGGTTGTCCCTGTGATGTGTAAGTTCTCTGATGTAGCGTCCCACCTACAGAAAGCTGGTATCAAGCCAGGAATGGTGGACAGTTTTTTATTTGACCTTGGCGTCTCTTCCATGCAACTGGACATCGCAGACAGGGGTTTTTCACTTAGTCGGGATGGACCACTGGACATGAGGATGGGAGGTCATACGTGGGTAGCAATTTTTTTTTTACATTTACAAATCTGGCCATCAAATTTAAATCTTTGCAAGTTGTGCCCTCAACTGTAAAACTTTACAAGATGTGGCCCTCAACTTTAAAACTTAACAAGTTATGGCCCTCAACTGTAAAACTTTACAAGATGTGGGCCTTAACTCTAAAACTTTACAAGATGTGGGCCTTAACTTTAAAACTTTACAAGATGTGGGCCTTAACTCTAAAACTTTACAAGATGTGGCCCTCAACTTTAAAACTTAACAAGTTATGGCCCTCAACTGTAAAACTTTACAAGATATGGGCCTTAACTCTAAAACTTTACAAGATGTGGGCCTTAACTTTAAAACTTTACAAGATGTGGGCCTTAACTTTAAAACTTAACAAGTTGTGGCCCTCAACTGTAAAACTTTACAAGATGTGGGCCTTAACTTTAAAACTTTACAAGATGTGGCCCTCAACTTTAAAACTTAACAAGTTGTGGCCCTCAACTGTAAAACTTTACAAGTTGTGGGCCTCAACTGTAAAACTTTACAAGATGTGGCCCTCAACTTTAAAACTTAACAAGTTGTGGGCCTCAACTGTAAAACTTGACAAGTTATGAGCCTCAACTGTAAAACTTGACAAGTTATGGGCCTCAACTGTAAAACTTTACAAGATGTAAGCCTGACAAGCTTGTAAAAATGTTTTCCATCAGTGAAGATGAGGTGACAGCAGCTGATGTGGTCAACACACTGGACTGTAAAGAGCTAAGTGAGGTCCTGAAGAAATACGGAGAAGAAAGGAAATGTCGAGAGATAGCCCATGCTATAGTGGAGGCCAGGTTTGCGGGAGGAAAGTTGACACGCACCACTCAGTTGGCTCAGGTGGTACAGAATGTTTTTCACAGGTGAGCACTGTGCTTAGCTAGCTGTCAGTAGTCAATGCAGTGTTAAATGATATGTAGAGCCAAATATAGAGCTAAATGTCGAGCCAAATGTCGAGCTAAATGTAGAGCCAAATGTATTGCTAAATGGTGATCTAAATGTAGAGCCAAATGTCGAGCTAAATGTAGAGCCAAATGTATTGCTAAATGGTGATCTAAATGTAGAGCCAAATGTCGAGCTAAATGTAGAGCCAAATGTATTGCTAAATGGTGATCTAAATGTAGAGCCAAATGTCGAGCTAAATGTAGAGCCAAATGTATTGCTAAATGGTGATCTAAATGTAGAGCCAAATGTCGAGCTAAATGTAGAGCCAAATGTATTGCTAAATGGTGATCTAAATGTAGAGCCAAATGTCGAGCTAAATGTAGAGCTAAATGTAGAGCTAAATGTCGAGCTAAATGTCGAGCTAATTGTGAGGTTGTTGCCCCCAGTGGTGTCCAGCGCCTTGACAAGTTGGCCAGGCCGGCTCATGTGGCCACAAAGACTTTTCAAGCTCTGAGAATCTTTGTCAATGATGAGCTCAATCAGCTTCACAATGGGCTAGAACTGGCTGGCCATTTTCTCAGGGTCGGAGGTCATTGTGCTGTCATCTCCTTTCATTCCCTTGAAGACCGGATAGTCAAGAGACACTTCCACGATGTGGATTTGGACGAGCGTGGCAACAGAAGCATCCATGACCACTTCCGTAACGCTGAGCTCAGTCTGGACATGGGCCTTGTCCAGCAGGAATGTTTGAGCAAGCCTTGGCAACCCATCAGCAGGAAGGTTCTAGAAGCTTCAGACAGCGAGTGCCAGAGAAATCCTAGAGCTAGATCTGCCAAACTTAGAGCAGCCATAAAGTGTTAGGGCCAACTTTGGCTGGCCATAAACTGACAGGGTGGCCAACTTAGAGTAGCCACAAAGTGTTAGGGCAGCCCACAAACTGACAGGGTGGCCAAACTTAGAGTAGCCACAAAGTGTTAGGGCAGCCCACAAACTGACAGGGTGGCCAAACTTAGAGCAGCCATAAAGTGTTAGGGCGGCCAACTTTGGCTGGCCACAAACTGACAGGGTGGCCAAACTTAGAGCAGCCATAAAGTGTTAGGGTGGCCAACTTTGGCTGGCCACAAACTGACAGGGTGGCCAAACTTAGAGCAGCCATAAAGTGTTAGGGCGGCCAACTTTGGCTGGCCACAGACTGACAGGGTGGCCAAACTTAGAGCAGCCACAAAGTGTTAGGGCGGCCAACTTTGGCTGGCCACAAACTGACAGGGTGGCCAAACTTAGAGCAGCCACAAAGTGTTAGGGCGGCCAACTTTGGCTGGCCACAGACTGACAGGGTGGCCAAACTTAGTGCAGCCACAAAGTGTTAGGGCGGCCAACTTTGGCTGGCCACAAACTGACAGGGTGGCCAAACTTAGAGCAGCCACAAAGTGTTAGGGTGACTAACTTTGGCTGGCCACAAAGTGATAGGGCGGCCCAACTTTAGCTGGTTCCAAACGTTTAGGCCATTCAATTTTTGGTATTTTTTTTTTCAAATGTGCACAACTTTTTTTTTGTACTTCCATTTAATAAATAATAAAGTGAGAGCAACTGTTTGATAGCATCCTGGTCAGATCAGTTGAATTTGATGGAGTCTGTTTTCTTTGTAGGTGTGTTTGTGTTGAGTTCAAAAGATGGTGTTTGTGTCATATACTTGTACAGACACTTCAAACCTGGCACTTGTATAGGTTGTGGAAAATTGTAAACTTGTCAAATGTTTTGTACTGCTTGAGCATCTTAATGAGATCTAGCTACAGTTTTTGGTGTCTGTTCTTGGCAACATTCTAAGCAAGGGTATCCACACAACCGCTACAAGCAAAAAGGTTGTACACAATTACACTTGCAAGTGGTGATACAAAAATATACCACAAAAAGTAATGCAGAAAGACCTTCTCAAGGTGACACGTTCTTTTGTTAACCACTAATTGATGAAAACTTGCCATACATGAATTTACAATCTAAGAAAGGGTCGGCGTGGTCGAGTCAGTAAAGATCAAGGTTGCTAAAGCGAATAGTCTCAAGTTCGAACCCTTGGGCAGATGAGGCTTGTTAGCTGGGGACAGCCACTCTTCTAGGAGACAACTTTAAAATTTGAGGATGCTATTGTCGTAACTACACGATTTAACAGTGTTTCTTCCAGACTTTTTTCCTCCCGTGGGGGGAGGGGGGGACACTAGTAAAAGTGAGTTTACTATACAAAATCCATCTCTTGAAGAGATGCCTGGAAGAAACTGCACAATTTGGCGCCCAGAGTTACAGAGCAGCATTGATAACACTTGGCATCCGTTAATCGTGGATCCTGCATAGCGGGTAAGGGATACTACTATATTCCGCCGGCGCACCGTAGATTGCACAACCCGCTGCGAGCACTATGGCGCCTAAGTTCGGTTTTAAAAAAGCGTATACACTGAAGACACGATGTGCAATAATAATCGCTGACTATAAGAAACCAGGCGCGTCCCCCTGCGCCCCTGCTGTGTTCGATTTGGCGCACTGGGCTTTCCCGTGAGCGCAATGGCGCCTGCGTTCGCTTTATACAGTGGGTGGACAAAGGATAAAATGGGGCGTTACAGTCGATCACTAAATTGAATCAGGCGTGTCCGCCGGCGCCCTGGTAGGGTGCGATTCGGCTGCGAACTAAAAACTTCAGTTACCGCCGTCAAAGACTAACATGGGCCGCTGAGGACCCTGTAATATATTTTTTTTAAATAATCAGATAAATTAACCAAGGTTAAATTATTAAATGGGTTGTTTCTTTTTCAGTGTTTCTTCCATATTTTTTTTCTCCGGGGGGGGGGGGGTGGCGGTAGACTGTTAAATGTATATATTTGCTATATAAATTATACAAATTTCGTTCAGAGAGGGGGAGGGGGGCGGTAAAAAATTTTCTTCTAAAAATAACTTTGTAACGGGAGGAAATCCTTTTGTACAGTTTCGTCCCTTTGCGAATGATGCAAGTAGCATCTATTTTTAGACGATCCAATCTGAAATTGAGATCGAGCATCTAATAATACACCATTAGTAACGCTAAAAACTTGCATCAGTCACACTGATGTTTATAATAAGTCAGATAAATTTTTTTTTCTACATGTTAAAGAAAAAAATCCTGTTGATTTGTGTCGCTTTAGCGAATGACGCAATCTGCATCATTGTTTCAGGATGCTATTTGGCGTTCTAGGTTATCATGTGAGCACTATGGCGCCTATGTTAGTTTTAAGGAGCTAAGGGCCGTACGCGGCGCCTCTGTGGTAGTGTAATCGGGGGCTCTACGGCCCTGACACATGGGCGGTCATCTAAGTGTGTTCTACCTCATTATTTCAGGTACACTCAAGGTTTTCATGCGATAGTGTAGGTAAACCATTGCCCCGATAACAATGACCCAAGCACAGGCATTGTTTACATTTAAATAACTCAGTTTTAGAAAACAAGGCCAATGACACTATATATTTCGTCAGATTTTCGACGGGTACTGTAGTATATATACAGGCATATTTATTATATGTGTGTGTGTGTGCGACAGTCCGGAAAAGATGTAACAATTACGGTGTATGATTTTCGTTCCCTAATACTTTACACGACGCTAATGGACGCGAGCGAGAAGGTATTCGAGAGGCCCATGAATTAATTTAAAAATCATGCACAGCGTAGTTACAATTAATATGGTTATAAAATCATGTCTGTCTGGGTTTTTTTTTTCGGACTACTAAAGATTTGATGTTTTTAATGTTTTCGTTAACTAAAAAAAAAAAAAAAAAAAGAAAAAAGCAAAAAGAATTTGGTTTTCACGTGTAATGGCGACATAAACAATGGCATCCTGCTATTCGATAGACCGCCATAAATTTTATTGTACACGTTGTGAGCGAAAAAATGGAAAACTAGGTCATGGTGTTTAAATTTGCATTGTTATTTTAAAAATAGTTATCGATCACTGAGTTACTGTACAGCCAATCAATATTTGTCTTACGAAAGTGAAACATCCGGTTATAACTTAGGCTTGATGAAAATAAATAGAAATGTAGCCTTAAACTCAACAAATTATTTTCAATTTCTCTGGATTTGCAACTTTTATAGCATTTATTCTAAAAATATAAAATTTGTAAATTAATTTTAGGCCTTTGTTTTTATTTTTTAAAATTATTTTTACGGTCTAAATCTAAAAAAGCACGTTTTTATTCCATGTCAACAACATGATGGAAGGATTCTCATCAACTCGCTCGCCTCCATTAAATTCCCCAAAAGATGTATTATCCTTTTAAAAGGATTAGTAATGTTAGAAAAAAATAAACCTCATCTGAGTTTAGAGGGAAGTTTGTAAAAGGTGCTAATTCGTTTAGGACAGTCTTTTTGTTTAATTTTATCTTCGGAAAATCTCTTATTATATAGTACATAGTTGGATTATAAGGTTGTTAGAATACGGTCATACAAGTGACATATAGCAAATTATCAGAAACATTTATTGTACACATTGGAATACAATATGGGTATTTCGTTGACTGGTTGATTGTATTAGGTAGTCCAAACTGAAATTAACTACTGATTGCATACTTTTGGAGTGAGTATGGCATGAAAGAACTTTTAATTGTAAGCTCTATGCCACAAATTTTATGAAAATATCTCAAAAAATAAAAAAGTTATGCGATTTTTAAAAAAGCAAAATTTGGTAAAAAACTGATTTTCAAAAAGTGCCATTTTTGAGAACCCATATTTTCTAAACTAAATAACATAGAAGTGTAGAAATTGGTAAAGTTACTGCAACGTTTGCAATATATATGCCCAATTTTTTTCAGTCATCTAAAACGAGTCTTTCTAAGGTAAAAAAATAATTGAAAATGACAAAAATGCGTTTTGGTCACTTTTATTTTCATACAAAAAAAAAAATGAATTTTTTTTTTTTTGCTTTGGACATAGAATAACTCTAAAACTATTGTGTTGGTAACATTAACAGGAAGAATGTGTTCATTATTTTCAAAAATCACATGAGTTAAAATATTATTTTTATAAATGCCACAGTTATCTAGTGCAGGAGCAACAGAATCAAAATTTAATGGAGTAATGTAATGTTATCTAATAAAGACGTGATGTCTAGAAGTGATGCAGCAGTTGATGCTACATTCAAACCTATCGGGTTGATAACTGCTTTGGGGGAACAGTTTTTAAAACTGGGAACTGTGGGGGGGGGGGGGGGGGGGGAGGGGGCTTGGCCTTCTTCCCTTCCCTTGTATGGAAAGTTCTTGATAGGCCACCATAAATGTCTCCAGCTATGGAATAAATAATTGATTTAGTGATTAATAAAATATAATTAAATTTACTACTAGCCTATTGTGTAGGCCTACTATTGGTCCTATGACTATAACTGGAAACTTATGAAAAAGCATGAAAACACCTTTTTGTTTAAAGTAATGTATAGTTGATAGTATAATTTTAATAGTAACTAGACCACCCGTTATCTAGTTAGATAACTGTGGGTTTCGGGGGTCATACATAAATGACATTACGTCTTTCAGCACTTATCATCCCAAAATAACCAGACCCCACATTCAAAAAGACTTTTTTTATATTTTAAAACTCTACTAAATTTACTTCACCTGCCCAGTGCCCCGCCAAGTCTCAGACATGTTAGTATTAAAAACAAGTTAATAAAAAGTCTAGTGACAATTTAAGCGCAATTTCCTTAATTAATTTTTTGTGACCGAACGAAAGAATATTTTTGAAAACTTTCTTCGGCAATATTGTTCTAAATTATGGCAGGAATCGATTGGTAAATGTTTCAAGTCGCTAAGTGGTCTGGTTGCCGAGATATGGGCCAAAACCTGCATTTTTCGAGGTTTTTTGGCTTTTCCGGGAAATCCGGGAAGGAATTCCGGGAATTTTTTTGGCCCACAATCATCCTCGGAACTTGCTTAACATATTTGCTTTTGGAACTAGTCCTCGATATTGCTTCGTTGAGGAGGAGATACGCCTTAAAGCTGGGGACACACATCCATCCAGAAATGACGAGTTAATAATCGCAATTCCTGTAAGGATATTGCGCTAAAAACGATTCCGGCCGAGCATGGCTCTGACCACTTTATCCCTTCATTTGCTGAGAACATACAAACAGGTGAACTCTCCTTCACCTGCCCTGTGCCCCGCGAGGTCCTGATAGTCAACTTTATCATTCACATCTAGGCCCTAATAAAAAATTATTGAATGAAAACACTGCTGTAAAAAGAAAATACATCTTTTTTACTATTAGTAAAGTTATTGTTCTAAACTGTTATAATTAATGTGGTGAATCTACCTATGAATATATCAAAAAATTAATCAACGGCTTTAAATTAGTTTGTAATTAACAGTGTGTTTAAGAAGGAACAATATTTACCATCCAAAATCCTATTTTACAGTTCTACACATAATGCAGACTCTCCCCAATAACAAATCAGAAAAACAAACAAACCAAAAAAAAATTAGTTACCAAACAAAGTTAAGCCATTGTTCTAAAACTTTAAAATTAATGTGGTTAATCTACCTATGAATAAATCAATAAATTAATTAACGTCTTTAAATAAATTTGTGAGTAACAGTCTGTCTGAAAACAAAAATTGTT